TAGAATCTAAGAATTGTAATAGGTGTTTGTCAGACAACGTAAAAATAACAAAGTGCCACAGTGTCATATTCAAATTTTAGTTTGGGGCATAGAAATAACTCACGTAAAAATAAATCATTAAAACTGAATTAACTTGCCTTGATTTTTTTGGGTTTTTTTCTTCTAGATCCCCATTATTGTTGACGTCATGTTGTTACGACATAACCCAGTGACGTTTTCACTTTTTATGTGACGCATATCCCATTGAACGTTTTTATGGAAAAAGCTTTATATAGGGGCGTGAGGGGGATAGGTGTTTTGGTGGTGGGGTGGGGTGCTTACCGTGCTTAAATATTACTGCACACGGATAATTCGCATCAAAAGGCATATAGATAAATTTAAGATGATTGTAATTTTTGTGATAGCACGTTAGGTTATAGCCCTAGTCTAATTGCTTTAAAGATGGATTCCCGCGTACAAACTGGGTGATTTAATGGTATATATGGACTAAAAACATATTCAAACTAATTCATTTATCATAACTTTGCTTCAAATCCCTCGCAAACATTGTAATTGCGAAGGAATGTCCTGCTATAAAAATTCGATCAAACCAGGTCATGTTTACGTCACGTGACATACCTCTCTTGGAAGTCAGAGGAGAATTCGTTGCATACATAAGACGATGTTGTCTTTAATCGCTTACTATTTATTACACATATCGAATCCTAATTAAATTCTCTGATTATCCACTACCCGCGTCTTTTTCCGTCATTTTTATCTCAGAAAGTGTTGTACGTCTAACTCTTCATAAAGTTTATCAACTTGTACATCAAGCGCTCAATGTTCGCGTGTGACCTTTGACATCACGCGTGCAGAAATTCCTAATCGTTGGGCTGTTGATTAGGGGAACCCTTATATTCTTGTCCTGTATTCGCTCCATGAGTGTTTTTCGGGGAATCCAGAGTTTTTCTAGTAAGATTGGATATATCTACTTTCCATATATACCAAAACTACCATACTTTTATTGGAAATAACCACCCGATAAATACTTTTCTGGGAACCCATCTTTTGTGTTCACACCAGGTCTTTTAGACCTGGGAAACGCGGTGACTCGGTACCAGATTAGGTGGGGTCAATGCTGACTATCTAAAATGTGGTGTCTTGGGATAACTATAGATAGACCTTGTACTGAAATCTTATTTGATGCGATTGTTTGTTTACCTGAATGCCAGAAAATCGACATAGAGTATTGGTGTGTCTTAAATTCTTCTTAACATTAATACATTTATTGCAAATCATTTCTTCTTAGGCTATAGATTTTGAAGTTGGATGGATAAAGTCACAGTTAAATTTAATTATTATATTTTTAACAAAAACTAAATCGCTTGAATTAAAAGGCGCGAGAGTTTTAGTAACCAATTTGAAGGAATAATCCCTGTTTGAATTGCAACAAAGAGCCTACCAAAGTTCACAATGATTAACTGTGTTTTTTTTCATTAAATTCTTTATTTTCGATGACCTGTAAACATACACATAAAGGTGATATACTTGTGATTTAGAGTGTAAAAGATTCGTGAAATATCTCCTTTAATCCGCTTACAATATCGTAATATTGGTCATCGAAATTCGTTTCTTCACAACGGATTATCCGCCCTTTGACCGTATTAACCTCGTTGAAAGGCGGCTTTAGGTGAGGAGTGAATATCGGAAAAGATTATAAAGCCGTTCTATTATTATGGTGGTATATCTTTATCAACTATATTAAAATATATCGAGTATCGCCTGCTCCTTACAAATGTATATCGACCGTTATTGATATATACACCTATATTTAATAGACTACTCGTTATCGTACTTATACAAGGTGTGGTGATACACCTAGCCAAGGACAGCTTTTTATTGATATCAGTTTGTTACAGATTTATCTAAACTATTTAGTACACCACTGATATGGGTGGTCCAAATATTTATATGTTGAGTTCACGCGAGGATCTGTGCGTTTCTGTTATAAATTACGTATCATCTTTAGATTGTTCAGGTGTGATGCCAACTATTCTTAACAGGAGAGTGCGTCAGGTTGTTTTGATGGAACCAAAAAGCTATTTCTCGTGCACTTACAGTGCACCTAAAAAGTCTGTGAACCGTGGAACCGAAAGTTAGAAACGCCACTGTCTGGGCAAAATCCACCTCAGATTGAATCCCCCTCTCTGGCATCAATGCACAGTGAACCGTAGAAAATAAAACATAACTCTTCCAGATATAATATATAGGTTTTTTTCAGCTATCTACTGCTTATTTGTTAATGACTGTGTTGTGTTAACGATGTGCTACAATGGCGTAAACCCCTCGTCCGATTTAATCAACTCGTGTTCATATTTAGAACTTTTATCGTATGTCTAAAAACTGTTGATGTACCTAGACAGGACTGGATAAAATAAGATTAATTTGGTACCATAAATAAATATATGATTTAAAAGGTTGTATATATGTGTGTCATATAAATCTATCTATTTACAATGCTGACCTACAAATTGCACTAGTTTTAGTGTGACGGACAATGGCCAGAATATGCCCCCTTTCAGTGTTGATGCAAGTGCCCCAGTGACACTTTCAGACAGGGGCCCCATGGCTTTATCCGACCCTGTACGTAGGGCTGACTTCTGGGGCCTGTTTCACGAAATTTTAACTAAAGATAAAATCCAAATTTTAGTAGATACTTCAATTTTGATTAGCTAAGCACTAAAATCAATCTAATATTATCCAATCAAATTAATAAAATTTGTATTTTATCTTAGTTAAAATTTCGTGAAACAGGCACCAGTTTGCTAAATTCGAAATATAATTGCACCTGTGGTAAGCACATCACACGTAATCCACATTCTTTCTATAGATAACGCGATTTTACGCTGGAAGTTTATCGAAAACTTCAAAGTATTATTATGTCCTTTTGCCACTACCTACATTGCAAAAGAGGCTTGGTGTATATCTGGCGGGTACACTATTTACCGGAATTCACCGGAATTGTACAATTAATAACAGAGAACTGTAAATCTATAGTCTTTTGACCCGGCAGCAGAGAACGGAATAAATTTGCAAAAGCTGTATCAACAAGCTTGTAAATTATGCAAATTTTATATATGATAATGTTATGGCTTTCCTTTACAAAATAAATAAACAAATAGGATTGGATTATTTTAATCAATATTTGTATAAAACCATATGGACCGTGTATATACGGTCCATGATAAAACTAAATTAACATATTGATGACATGTCAAATAAATGCTGGGAGATACTTCCAACTATTGTACTATATCTAGTTGATAAGAGACAGGTGTTTCCATTAACAAATAAATTATACAAAATAAATAGCAATAAAATAAATCATTTAAATATCTAGAATAATACATCGGTCATTTTGAGACAAACATATTGTTAGTTTTATTCTATCGGCGCTTGGTGCAATGCTAGGGAGGGGAATTAAACCCCGATATCGGAGTTTCCACTTACTTTTCATCGAAGGTTCTTTTGAGTTAGGCGGCATACACATGTCTAAGTATGGGTCACGTTTTAGTCTACGTACAAACATCTTCCACAGAAGGTCTGATTTCGCATTAACGCCGTACATCTTATCCAGACCTTCACGTAGTACACTACATTTGTTTACGTAACTAATTTCGATTGGTTACTGACCCAGTTCGCGACCTCTCTGATTCCTCGATAGAAAAGATCATCGCCAATAGAAAAGATCATCGCCAATACCATGTCTCGCTCTTTCCAACTGAAATGTCTAGCTGTAACAATCCAGTTGCAAAGTTTCAAGGTTCGCTCAATTTCAAAGTGGCTGGAACTTTTTCACTTCAAACTAGGCTTCCAACGCTTGTGTACCTAACCTAAAAGTTTGGGAAATTCAGACTAATCTAGCAATGGCTAGATGTTACAAAAGTCCCATAGTGGTTGCTTCAGGAATATGGCGTACAGACTACTATCTATAGTAGTGAATTATTGTTATCCTTACCGAGCCTTGAACAACGCCATGAACGTAACAATTCAAATCAACTAGAGACTAAAACATTTTGAAAGTAATACTGGAGTTGGAATTTGTGTAAACTCATGAAATCCAAAACGTTTGTCATTCCGAAAGCCAACAAGACAAGGGGAGTTAACTCCACAAAAAGGGAAACAACTTAGTTATTTTTAAATGGCATTTGATTCAATTACTATAGGTTTGAGAATATATTGACAATCAAAATGAATATTTTATGTCTAACTGTCTGACTCAATATACTAAACAAATATAAATACAAAACAAAAACTAATTAAGAAGGGGAGATAACAAAGCTCACGGTTTAAAAAAAAAGAACAATAATGTAAATTGTATAGCCAACAAACTGTTTAAACAAATAAACTGCAGTATAAAAAATCTAGAATATAAAATATTATTATCATTATCAGCTAAATTTATCTAAAAATATATATCAATAAATTAAAACTTCATTTTAAAAGATTATAAATCTATCAGTATCACAAGTTTTTCTAAGGCAATTATCTGTACGCAGAGACAATATAGTTCAAAGCTCAATTCTCAGGCAAAATAAGCAATTTTATAAAATTACAAAATAAAAAAAAAAATACATAAATCTGAGAACAAAAATATCACAGGAATGTAAAATGGCTCATAAACCACAAATTATCAAGACTGATCAAAATTATTATATATAGGCTACAAATAATTGAAATATCTGACGTTTAAATACAAATAATTCAAATATAAATTTATTTATTTTACATATAAATACAAATAATTCAAATATAAATCCGTCTTTTTTACATATAAATACAAATAATTCAAGTATAAATTTAATCATTAATTATCGTATATTTAAATACAAATATTTTAAATAGAAATTTAATAATCATATATAGAGTAAATGTTTTACTACTTATATATCATTAAAATTATAAACTTGGCTATAAATGAAGAATGTCTTGAATAATTTCAGCTTTAAGAATTTTATCTATTATCCTTAAATTTAGATATAATATAATGTTAATACCAATTAATAATGTCACGAAGAATATGAATTGTTTGCATAAACTAGAATCAAATAATATTCAGCTTTACACTTTTGGGTAAAACCTAAAATATTAAAGCTATGTTAATCGACAGGCATTTCTTATACAAAGTAAAAATTCAGATTTAAAGCTACAAATAAATAAGAAACTGTTTGATGTAAAGTACAAAGATTAAAGCTTTGTCTCTTATACAAGGCATTTCTTATACAAAGTAAAAATTCAGATTAATAGTTACAAATAAATAAGAAACTGTTTGACGTAAAGTACAAAGATTAAGGCTGTGTCTCTTATTCAAGGCCAAATTTATAGTTACAATAATAACTTGATATACAGTACAAATATTTAGGTCGCAGCCATAGGCGTATACAGGCTTGATGAATGTTAAGGGGGCAGAACTTGAAATACCCGAAAAAATTTTGGGTTACAGATAGCTCGATGAATGTTAGGGGGGGGGGGGCAGAACCTGAAATGCCCCAAAAATTGGGGGTTACAGATTGCGGTGCCGGTCATCTGCAATAGGTAAGGGAGCAGAGCGTACCGTGTAGACCCCCCCCCCCCCCACAGAAGAACAAAAAAAAATTTAATGTCTGCAAATGCATTTTCCTACTATTTCAGTCTGTGAATACAGCAACTTCAAAGTGATCTAATATAGCCTAACTTAGATGGCTGACTTGAATTCCAATTAACCAATCAGTCGTTTAGAGTCCACGGAGGTGGGACCATTGGGAGAAAATTTTGAAAATTTAACTGCCGCAAATGCATTTTCCTGCTATTCCAGCCCGTAAATAAAGCAACTTTAAAATGGTCCCATATAGCTACCTTAGGTGACTTATCTGAATCCCAAATCCCAAACAACCATTCAATTGTCGCGAGGTATGGGGGCCTCGCCCTCTCCAGGAAATTTTAAAAATTTAACTTCCGCAAATGCGTTTTTCTGCTACTTTACCCTGTGAATTAAGCAATCAGTTTGCAATTGAAATCCCACTCTATGCCAACCTGAATTCCAACCATCCAATCAGGCCATTGCAGCTGCATTTCCAAATAATAATCGATGACCAAAAAATGTTGCAAAAAGTAGAGTGGCACCAGACAAGATGTTTTAATTCATAGTCAATTCAGTACAAATTCGTGGCATTCAATTAAAAGAAAAGTAAAATTAGTGTTTTATTAGACTTTGGGCACTTTATTTTGCAAACTAGATGAAATAATAATAATTTTTGTTTTCATATTACCCATCTGCTCGAAAAGTCAGATTGCCCGAAAGTTAGGGTGGCAGCTTCCCCCGCCTCCCTCCCCCCTGGCTCGTACTCCTATGGTTGTGGCTGTTACACAAAATTCAGATTTATAGTCACAAAGTAAGTACTAACAAACAGCTTGATATAAAAAGTACAAAAATTAAAACTGTGTGTCTTATACAAGATAAAGATTTATACAGTAGTTACACATAAGTTTTAAATAGTCTGATATCAAAGATGGGGTTTCTATGAATATAAAGAGGCACTTTAAACAGCTAAATTGTATTTACAAATCAATGTTACAGAAAGCAATCAATTCTTTGCCCAATTATTTATCCTCTGCTTCCTCTTCTTGTTTTAATTTCTCTAATTTTAAAGCTTGTTCTTTCTCTCTGGCCTCTTTTTTAGCTTGAATGACGAGTTCAGCACAAATCTCTAATGGCGCAGGTTCTATCTGACCACTTCCTGTAATTGTATCACAATAAATCATATCATTCAGATATCTACCAATGCAGCATCACATTTACAGAGTCCTTTACATTATTCAAAGTAATATTTTCTATATATTAAATAAATTAGTCTTGACTTGTGTAGAATTGGTAATCAGTGTATAATACAATACAAATGGATTCATGCACATGCCACTTTTATGTGACTGTTTTGTGTGTTCTTAAAGTTAAAATTAACTGATCTGGACAATTTTGGGACAAAATGTTTTTTAATAAAAGAAAAAAAATACTTTTGAGTATGCATATTTATTTTTATTCTTAAATGCTGGGGCTTTATTCCATCAAGGAATAAATGTTATATCGTTCTATATTAGGTATCCTGCATACAAGTGAACTGTATCAGATAGCTACCCTGCATAAAAGTGAACTCTATTAGCTAGCTACCCTGCATAAAAGTGAACTCTATTAGCTACCCTGCATAAAAGTGAACTCTATTAGCTACCCTGTTTAAAAGTGAACTCTATCAGCTAGCTACCCTGCATAAAAGTGAACTCTATTAGCTACCATGCATAAAAGTGAACTCTATTAGCTACCCTGCATTAAAGTGAACCCTATTAGCTACCCTGCATAAAAGTGAACTCTATTAGCTACCCTGCATAAAAGTGAACCCTATTAGCTACCCTGCATAAAAGTGAACTCTATTAGCTACTCTGCATAAAAGTGAATTCTATTAGCTATCCTGCATAAAAGTGAATGCTAAACTACTATGTCAGTTCCTTAGGTGAAGAGTGAGAAATAATATATAGGCCTACCTATTAATTTTTTGGCTTCCTGTCCATCAATAATAGGATTCATCCATGTTGATATTCGTGTATTTTGTAAACCAGTTGCCGTGGGAACATAGATATAATATAACATATCTAATATCTGACGTTTACTGATACCTTTCTCTTTCTTTAATATCTGACCTGTAATATACATTACACATAATTAATATCTGACCTGTAATATACATTACACATAATTAATATCTGACCTGTAATATACATTACATACAACTAATATCTGACCTGTAATATACATTACACACAATTAATATCTGACCTGTAATTCACATTACCCGCATACACAATAGTAAACTTTAATACTAGATCTGTACTGTTTGGCAGCTGCTAAAAAAATGCTGCTTAACTTTCCCACAAGTTAATATTGCAGAGAATGTTTCCAAAAAAGGAAAAAATTATCAGCTGAAAACTGTAGGAGTACGATGGAACCTAACAACACACAGATGGAATTACAACAATTGCCAAAATCAGTCTGTCACAGTACCCAGGAGATAAGGAAGGCTGAGCGAGACAATAAGCTAAGCAATGCCAAGTCAAAATCACCCAAAATCCACAGCAAGGGACAACAAATAAGGAGAGCGAATTGCATAAATGTTTAGCTTCTTTCAAATCAAATTAATTGTAACAGAACATATCATCAATCAAAATCACTGTCACCTACCTGGTTTTCTACAGATTATCTCCCTTGCTTCTTCTATTTCTGCTTGTGAAGGATAAAGATCACACTCTTTAAAAAACTGATCCACATCCCCCATCTCTAATTCTCCTCCAAACGCTCGTCTCTCAAATACACTCTCATATCCTGAAAACACAAATATAACAACCATTCAACATACGCCGTGTGATTTTAGGCACCATTGAATTTTCATGTCTGAAGTGCTCGACCAGATGTGATGTTATGTTCATTGAACTATCTAATGATGTTATTGTGTTTGTGAACATTGTTAAATGAACCATATAATGATGTTATCATGTTCGTGAACATTGTTCATTGAACCATATAATGTTATCATGTTTGTGAACATTGTTCAATGAACCATATGATAATGTTATTGTGTTTGTGAACATTGTTAAATCAACCATATAATGATGTTATCATGTTTGTGAAAATTGTTCAATGAACAATTTAATGATTTTATGTTTGTGAACATTAACCACTGAACAATTTAATTATGTTATAATGTTTGTGAACATTATCCACTGAACAATTTAATTATGTTGTCATGTTTGTAAACATTGTTCAATGAACAATTTAATTATGTTATCATGTTTGTGAACATTGTTCATTGAACAATTTAATGATGTTATATATTGATCATGTCCGTAAACATTGGGAACCCTGGTGACTGTGAGATTGTGACTTGTTATCTAACCTGAAGTCATGGGTTTAATCCGGGTGTTGTTTGAGAAAGTTCCTCAAGATTCTCCAGTCTGGTTTCCCTTTGTCCGCAGTGCAGAACCATTATAGACTGCCCGACAAGAAACAGCATCTAATTGCATGGATAGGATGACAAAATTAAGCCCACTAATGTACTCATTGGTGTGCATGCAAAAGAACAATTCGAAATTGATTTTTCAAGTCTGATTCCCACTTTTCAGTTTGACAAAGAAAGTATGTCTAAGATGATGTATACTTTTAAATAATATTATGACTTACGTTTTCTACTGTCCATGTATGAATTCATCTCACCAATGGAGAATGGTGTTTGATATTTCTCTATACCATGATGTTTCTGTACACGTATCAACATATTTCTATATTCTTTTACCATAACAGGAAACTCAGATCCATACCACATTGCCTACAAACAGAAACGTAAGAGATATTTAATTCTAAACTACAAATAGTCATGCAAAAACATCACAAAATGTAATGATGTAATCTAAAGTAACAATATTGTCCACTGTTTGCCACCCTCTCCCCCATCCCATCCAAATCATAATTGTTAGACAGCTCCCAGTGCTGGATTGAGGCTTTGTTGGCCCTAATGCACAATTTGATAGGTGGCCTGAAAGTACAGATATTTTGGGTTTCACCAATAAAAGGAAGAAAGTTAAAATTAACAACAGAAAATTTTTTACAAAAAAAAATTCAGAACCAATATTTTTTTTGCTGAAAGTACTATAAGATTACCGTAGCTAGATGATAAATGAGTAGATGATGAAGGATGCCATTTATTCACATAAAAGTAAAGGGAAGCATTTTTGTCATCAGCTGATAATTGTCAAAAAGAAATTAACTTTATTTTTTTGTGGCCTGGATTTTTGCCTGGGTCTAAGGCTAGTGGTTAATCTGCTACATCTTTCCTAATCATAATTGTTAGACCCCCCCACCCCTCTCCAGAACCCCCTCCCCTCCAAATAACTAATTGTCATGTATAAGTACAATAAAAAGTCAGAGTAATTTACCTTGCGTTTTAACCGTTCTAATTTGCGTCTGACCAGCCAGCCTCGTACTAATTTCTGCATCATGACAGCTGCAGAATCAAGTTCTAACCTAGTTGCTCCAATATGTTTCGGATGATAAACTCTGAAATAAAACAAACAAACATTGAGGTAGATGTCCCCAGTCTGTACGTTCATACGTCCGCATCCACCAAGGGTCATATTTTAAAAAAGATGTTTCCTCACCTTAATCCCAAAATAAATAGATGATATTCATTAACTTTATTAGCTGAATACTAAAAGGGATCAAAAATTCTGGAAGAGAGTGGGATTTAACTGAGTAGTGATAAGGGATTAAATAGTACCTATTGGGTTTGAGATATTTCTATCGTTTTTGTGTCTTGGAAAGTCTCCTTTATTTTTTTTGTTTTCCTTCTTAGTGAAGCCTGTGTCACCGCAGGCTTATTGACATATGGCTGGCCACATTCACTGATATATTGCTGTTTATTGTTTAAAATGACTGTGTGTATTATGTCAAGTCCGTAGGTTTGTCTTGTGTAATTGTTTATGTGTGGTGTGGTCCTCCTGCACTCACTACTAGAGAGTTTCATGTACCTTTATGGCATGGGTTTCATGTTGGCAGTATATGCCGGTCAAGACTAAGGGCTATGGGAAATGGCTGAAACTAGATCGGACCCATCGGGCATTTTGCACAATGGAAAAAAATAGCATATTTTTCAAACCCAATTTTCAACCATGGCTACCATCGATTTCCTTTATGTAACTATAAACTCTACAGCCTGTAATGAGTAATGCAAACATATAGAAGCCACATGAATTGTAAAACTGTGGATCTTCTTCATTTTACAATTTCTAGGTGCTAAATAAAGAAATGGGGTTTTACATCCTTTCAACATAATCTTAATTTCGAGGCTAATATATGGTTCAATTTTAATTCAAAACCCATGAGATTAAGAAGATATCCCTACTCCTTGTCATGTACATCTGTGGGATTGAAACCACGCCACTGGACACAATGACAGACCTTCTGATCTAAAGTGCATGCATTAGGTCACTCAACCTAAAACATGTTGGTATACTTACTGATATATATCTACATGTGGTCCTATTTCTGATATTCGATTTACAGCAGAAACATAGTTATATGTATTCCTGTAATAAAAACACAACAATTGTTTTTTCAGATAGTTATACACATTCCTAAAATAAAAACACAATAATTGTTATATCTGATAGCTATACACATTCCTGTAATAAAAACACAATAATTGTTTTTTCTGACAGTTAATTAACAGCATTCCTATAATAAAAACAAGACATTTCTTTTACAAAAGGAATGCAACAGACCAGACATTCTGAGCCGTCCTCTTGGATCTTTGAGAAGTACCCGGCTGATGGATACATACATCATGGCCAGCATGATTCCCCAGTGAGAGGATTGAACGGTAAACTTTTCTCTGGGAGCTGAAATTGACCTGAGAAGTCAGAAACAGGCATGACAGGTGATAAAGTTCTTCTTCAACCACACTAGATTTGAACATAAGGTCAGTAGTGTGCTAACATCATGACTACTGTAATAATGTTCAACATTAGACATGATGTCACTAATAAAAGAACTCATTTTATCAACTTAACACAACTTTAAGAAATTTAAGAAATCTCTGAAACAAGTCCTGGACATGGTGTAAAAAGTTTGAAAGAATTTCGATTACATCTATAACTCTCTTTGGAGTTTTAATTTTCAACATCTTTAATATGTACTACATAGTTATGGTGACACCAGCTACTTCAACCATCTGCTACTTATGTCAATACAACTGTTTACAATTAAATAACTTACTCTTTAGCTACTTGTTGTAATTTTTTTTGTCTCTGTCTCTCCTTCTCCATTAAAACTTCCTTATATTGTTTCGCCCATTCTAGATTCCCCACATTTGACTGTCTTTTATAGATAGATGCTTTACGAGCTAGATGACCTCGAAAATGTCTGTAAAATACAGAAGTATAATATAATATAGTACGTGGAGCACAACGGCACCACACACAGACACCCAGAGGACAAACAAATGGACAAGGCACATAACACACAGACATTGGAAGTAATAATGAAAATAGGCTACTATCAAATCAATTCTCGGTATCATCCCGGTTCATATAATTTATCCAGTCCACAAAATCTGTAATAGTTATAAGACAAATTCTTCCAATCACAACCAAATGACATGAATCGTCATTTAAATAGTTTAGCTAATCTAAAATAGTTGATTAAACTGTACAAGGGCAATAAAACTGTCAATATTCTCACCTTTGAATTTCTAAAGCAGCCTTCTGTTGATCTTCTAATTTCTCTCTCTCTTCTTTATTTAACATTTTATAATCACTTGTATCAACATAACCACGATATATTCTACAATAAATATTATATATTATATAATCACTTGTATCAACATAACCACGATATATTCTACAATAAATATTATATATTATATAATCACTTGTATCAACATAACCACGATATATTCTACAATAAATATTATGTATTATATAATCACTTGTATCAACATAACCACGATATATTCTACAATAAATATTATGTATTATATAATCACTTGTATCAACATAACCACGATATATTCTACAATAAATATTATGTATTATATAATCACTTGTATCAACATAACCACGATATATTCTACAATAAATGTTATGTATTATATAATCACTTGTATCAACATAACCACGATATATTCTACAATAAATATTATGTATTATATAATCACTTGTATCAACATAACCACGATATATTCTATAATAAATATTATGTATTATATAATCACTTGTATCAACATAACCACGATATATTCTATAATAAATATTATGTATTATATAATCACTTGTATCAACATAACCACGATATATTCTATAATAAATATTATGTATTATATAACCACTTGTATCAACATAACCATGATATATTCTATAATAAATATTATGTATTATATAATCACTTGTATCAACATAACCACGATATATATTCTAAATAACTATTTCTATAATATTAATGGATTCATAACGAACATGAGATCATCTATTAGATGATTTCCTCACCAAACAGTCTGATCTCCCCAACCTGTCTGATCTCTTCCCCAACCTGTCTCACCTCACCAACCAGTCTGATCTCTCCAACATGTCTGATCTCTTCCCCAACCTGTCTGATCTCTTCCCCAACCAGTCTGATCTCTCCAACCAGTCTGATCTCCCCAACCAGTCTGATCTCTGGAACAAGTCTGATCTTCTTCCCAACTTTCCCAACCAGTCTGATCTCCCCAACCTGTCTGATCTCCTCCCCAACCTGTATTATCTCTCCAACAAGTCTGATCTCCCTAACCAGTCTGATCTCTGGAACAAGTCTGATCTTCTCCCCAACCAGTCTGATCTCCTTCCCAACCAGTTTAAAAACAGACAATACTATTCAGGTTTCCACCAGTTACTAACCCTGTTGTTTAATGTTGAAATATATATACACTAGCAGGATACCCGGCTTTGCTCGGGGGTCATAACTCCGAAACCGGAAGTGGTAGACTAACGCCACCTGGCCTATGTTACTCCACCGTCCGAGCTACCCCTATACCCAAATTTTCAGACTCGGTGCAGACCTAGTGTAGCCGCCATCCCCGAACAGACAGACTTCGCTCGGGGGTCATAACTCCGAAACCGGAAGTGGTAGACTACGCCACCTGGCCTATGTTACTCCCAGGTCCGAGCTACCCCTATACCCCAAATTTCAGACTCGGGGCAGACCTAGTGTAGCCGCCAACCCCGAACAGACCGGCTTTGCTCGGGGGTCATAACTCAGAAACTGGTAGACTAACGCCACCTGGCCTATGTTACTTCCCGGTCCGAGCTACCCCTATACCCCAAATTTCAGACTTGGGGCAGATGTAGCCGCCAACCCCGAACAGACCGGCTTCGCTCGGGGGTCATAACTCAGAAACTGGTAGACTAACGCCACCTGGCCTATGTTACTTCCCGGTCCGAGCTACCCCTATACCCCAAATTTCAGACTCGGGGCAGATGTAGCCGCCAACCCCGAACAGACAGACTTCGCTCGGGGTCATAACTCCGAAACCGGAAGTGGTAGACTAACGCCACCTGGCCTATGTTACTCCCAGGTCCGAGCTACCCCTATACCCCAAATTTCAGACTCGGGGCAGACCTAGTGTAGCCGCCAACCCCGAACAGACAGACAGACAGACAGACAGACAAACGACAGTCGCAAATATATATATATAGATATATTTACCTCTGTATATCAACAGCTGCTGCTGTTTGTTTTAGTAAATTAGCTGCCTGTAATTCCTCATCCTATATAAATAAAAATGTTTAAATATGAATTAATTTTACCATATCTTATAAAAAAAAAATGATTTAAATGAAATATAAAGATGTTGATTTAATTTCATGTGTTGTGAGACAGTTAGCTTTGTAGCAGAGGTAGGAACTTGAGTCAAGCGATTCAGGCTCAAGTCCGACTTAAAGTCGCATAAATGACCCCACTTGAAATATTTATTGCAACTCAAGACTCAACTCGGCAAGACTCACGACTTGAAAGAGTTTAGGACTGGAATCGCGGCGAAGGGGTATAACTCTAACTGACCTTATATACACCAGGGCCTTGTTGGTCGTGCAGTTTGATGTACTGGCGACTTGAACGGACTTCTTGCTTTATGAAGACTTGTGACTCGACTGGGTACTAAAGTCAGCGCTTTAGGACTCGACTCGGACTCAATGTGCAGTGACTTGGGACTCAGCTCTGACTCAAGGTCCCTCAACTTGTTCCCACCTTTGCTTTGTAGAAAGTGGGAAATGGATAGAGAGTCATGGAATTTCGTCTTATCAACACAATACTTTGATTATGTTTCATTCTATGGATACGTGTGCAATTCTAGTTAGAAGGGTTTTTTGTCAAGCAAATCAGTCTGTACATGGGTGGACCACATATTTTGTTTTATCCCATCCAAATGACTAGGCAGAATTTACTTATCACTACCAATGAAAAGCGGGAACCAGGCTAAAAAATCAATGGAGAATGAGAATGAAATGTCAAAATGAAAATTTACGTACTGGATCAGCTATTTTTTGTACTTGTGCAATTGGACGGCCAACTCTGACTAGTGATATAGATGGTGTGCCAGGTTTGCTGGTTGTTCCAGGAGTACTTAACCTTGAACTCTGCCCTGTGACCTTTGGTCTTGCATAATTATCTCCTTCCAGCTGACGTCTAAGAGTTGTGTCAGGTGTTACCATTAACCTAGGTTCACCATTGAATCTAGGTTCACCATCGAACCTAGGTTCACCATCGACCACATCTTTTCCTGGATAATGTTCTGTTGATCCGAATGTAACTTGTCGATCTAGTCCCGATATTGGTCGTCTGACGTCGGTATAATGAGCATACGGCATGGCAGAGTGAGGTTTTAATATAGAGCTAGGGTAATCTATTGGAAGAAAGAAAGAAATTTATCAATATCGTAATTTAACATTATTCTGGTAAATCATTCATCAACAATCAACATTAATTAAAATAATTTAAAAAAACGTTTAAGATTTTACAGTCTGTAGAAAATTGTTGTACATGCAACTAAATCACCAAATACAATCCTATAACAGTTACTACAACCCAGGTATTGTGTAGTTGGCTGATTTAGCAGGAATTTCTGTATTCAAAGGAGCTAACTCACTAATATTTGAGACCTACAAATTGACACAAATGGGCCGCAACATATATAATAATGTAATATGAATGTAAATAAACTGATTTACATTCAATCGTTTCTTTTACTCTAATTTCAAAGTAGTTATGTTCGGCGAAATACGCCAGAAGTCTCAATCGAATGGCAATCTCTAGCGTCTGGTTATTCCACTCTATACCGATAGTATTTATTGCGCATGCTCTCCAGATAAGAATATGGGGTCACCTTTTGACATGACTTGTTGAATATGTCTAACCTGGTTCTTCGAGTCACTTGTTACAAATTGCGCTCAAACACATTATGGTACATGATTCGTGTACCAATCGTAAAATGTTTATTTTGTCTTAAATATTGGATATCAGAAGCCCATCTTTTCCAGGTAAGATCACAGCACCAATGTTGGTTACAACTGATAAATAATTCGTGTTTTCAATGTCGAAGGTTTTGGATGATATTGAGTTAGAGACTTAGCTACTTTAATATTTAGTCTTAACCATTGTATGTAAACCGTTTAAATTCGTTGAATTGTCACGTAGTTTAAAAAGGGTCCATCTAGAATAGATAACGAGTGTCAGGTTTACAACTATTTATTTTGTGTTGAGTCATTACAGAAAACTACACAATACACGATCAGTTGCCGTGAAGATTGGCATAATAAGTGGATTGTTGTAATTAATCGTTTTTGCTGTTGTTTTTCTTGCCAACCATAATCTAGGTTACCAATTTGAATTAAAATAACTGCAGGAAGCATATAATTAAATGTCCATGTATAGGTTTCCAATAATTTTTTAATATAATCCATAAATAGAAGAAGTTGATTATGAACGAAAATATTTACCTCCATGTCCTTGTATTTGATGAACTTGAAGGGTTTCCATTAAATGTCTTTCTTCATTGGTCGAAGCCGGTGCTGTATGTAAACCTTCTCGTAATTCAGTAACTAAACACAAATAAACCAGGATTTATTCAATGGGTAATTAATTAGTAGTTGACCCAAATAGAAGCAAATAAATGGTTGCATCCTGAATTTAAATTAATAAACGGGTGTCGTTTTCTTTCTTGGCCTATCTGTCTTGTTTAGCAAGAGCCAGTCACATCTATCCTTGTAATATCTTGAAGATATTTTCATATATATTGAAACCAAATTTTGCCATCTTCAAAATAAAAAGCAAATCAATATTAGATTACTAACCATGTTCCATAAATCTTCTTGGACTTTTAATTTTCCGAGCATGATCCTCTAACTCTTTCTGATAAACGTGCCTTCCAGGACAACAACGAGGTGTTCGTCCACCAATGGAACTATATGGACTCGGAATGGAAGGTGGTGTTCTAATAGGGGGAGTTTTATGTAGGTTTTCTCGTTGTCTTTGAGCCATTTGCATGAGGTGTATGGCAGAATTGTTTGCTTTTCCAGGTATTCGTCCTGCCGACCTTTCGACCTTTGCAATCGGTGTTTGTGGCAGACATTCGATACTATAACTTTCTTTTATCAAAGTTTTTCGAGAAATGGGTGGCTGTGGTAACCTTTCATGATGAACTTTACCAACATGGTTCCTTGGCATCTGAGCACTTTGAGACCTGAGTAATGGCTGTCGTTTGACTTCCGCTTTGAATGCAAGATCGGGAGAGAATTGCCAGGCATCAGAAACAGTTAAAGGTTGTAAGGGTTGGCTTCGTTTATCTTCTGGAACTGGACCAGCACCTTCTGGTGGTATAGCACAGATTTCAATGTTGTGGTGCCCATCATCTTCTTCATCTACATTCTACAGATAAAAAAAGTTAATATTTTACTCCTTTCTACGATATTGTAATGTATTACAGCCCCATATATCACATTGCAATATAAGATTTTAATTTGATAATCTTTCAAAAAGTCCATAAATACTTGTGAAATTGTTCTCATTGATGGCTGATCTAAAAAAAATCTAACCCTAGATCATCAACTGCTGGATGAGGAATTTAAACTAGGATTAGGGAAAAGGAATGAGAAGCCGTCTTTAGGACAGACAGTTGTCAATTTGAGCGACAGACTTCTCAACCCCCTAGAAATGAACATTCTTGATAAAGGCCTTAAATTCATCCCAACCCCCACAATAACATCCATAGACCCCATCACCCAGGCAACCGATCGCTTCCAAAGAACACTTTCGTTGACTTATTTTTTTTAGGAACAAACCCGGCAGAGGTAAAAAATTATTCACAGCAAAATCCACATGGAAACCACCTAAAAAGTCATTATCACCAGCCATCCTAAAAACTTTCGACGAAATGAATATAGAAATATCATCCATTCAACCACAATCACAAAAACCAAATCTCAACCGAGCAACTAAAACGGCATTAAACATCCTTAAAAAAGACAAAAACATAATAATTAAGAAAAGCGACAAAGGCTCGTGTTGTGTCATAATGAATCGCGCAGACTATATCTCAGAGGCAGAAAAACAATTAAGTAATCCTATACATTACACTAAATTAGACCAACCCATCTTTAAGGACACCGCAACTTTAATAAACAACATCTTATATGAATTGCAGGATAAGGAATACATAACAGCAAAACAATATGATTATCTATCTGCTAAATCTGACTGCCGACAAAGACATCTCTATACACTACCAAAAATACATAAAAATCCAGAAACAGAATGGTTTATACCTAATAAAATACCCAAGGGACGCCCAATAATATCAGACTGTGGCAGCAAATCATACAACGTATCACAATATATAGACCATTTCTTATTACCCCTAGCATGCCAACACCCATCCTACCTTAAAGACACTAACGTTTTCATTCAGAAAATCAAACAGTTAATCCCCGAACACACCATTTTAATATCCATCGACGTACAAAGCATGTACACGAACATTGATAATAACACAGGTATTGAAGCAGTTAGGAAAGCATTTCTTAGGAACCCACAAGCATCCAGGCCGGACGAAGAAATCCTCAAACTACTCGACATTTGTCTGAGGAGGAATGACTTCGCTTTTAACGACCAAGTATACCTTCAGTCTTCCGGAACTGCGATGGGAAAACGATTTGCCCCGAGTTATGCAAATCTCTTCATGGCGGAGTGGGAAAGGGAAGTTCTGCCACTCTGTCCATTAAAACCAGATATCTATGGGCGGTTTTTAGATGACGTTTTCATAGTCTGGACGTACACACTAGACGAATTTTGGACGTTTTTCAACATTCTGAACAATCATCATCCATCTGTCAAATTAACTGCAAATGTAAGCCATAACAGCATAGATTTCCTTGATACTACCATGTTTAAAAGTAGCAACACCAAAATCACAGGCCAATTGGAAACTAAAGTATTTTTCAAAGAAACCGACACACATCAATTATTGTTCAAAAGCTCCTTTCACCCAAAACATACATTCTCTGGCATCATAAAATCTCAGATTCTCCGATATCATAGGATATGTACTCAGAAGACCGACTTTGAGTCAGCATGTACATTGGTATTTAACAAACTAAGGGAAAGGGGATACTCCAAACGCTATCTACGATGTATAAAAAACAACACTCTCGCTGAGCTTGCCGCCAAAGAAACAAATAATATACAATCAGCAGTTAAAACCAAAATTTGTGGCCATCCAAGATGTCAAACATGCAAAATCTTAAACATATGCGACCATTTCCATAACAAAACATCTGGCACAAAATTCCCAATATTAGACCAACTTTCATGCAGTAGTTCAAACATAATTTATCTAATTTCATGCAGAAAATGTGACAAGCAATACGTAGGGGAGACTCAAAATGCACTTAGGGAAAGAATTAACGGTCACCGGTCAGACATAGTCACCAAAAAAGACAAACCTGTCTCAATTCATTTCAACCAACCGAATCATGACATTTCTGATCTTATTGTCACGCCAATAGAAAAGACCAAGAGCGACTTTGAAACTTCAGAAGAAATTAAAACGTTTAGGCTAACAAGAGAAAAATTCTGGATTGACAAATTGAAAACAACAGCCCCCCTAGGTTTGAATATTCATACGGCTAGCGCAATAGCTCCTTTTGTAGTTCCATTTAGCGCAACAGCAGCAAGTGCATCCAAAATCATCAGAAAACACTATACTGATCTCCAAGAAAATCACCCGAAAATATTCACACAGAAACTTATAATTTCATATTTTAAATATAAAAATCTGAACGACATCCTAGTGCACAGTAAATTAGATTAAATAAGACCAGTCTCCACCCTGACCCAAAACAAACCATATATCAAATCCTATCCCTAACCGTTAGTAAATAAAATCAATTAGATATAAGAATCCCTAGCCCTAACCCGGTGATGTGGAACAAACACGATTTTTTAGAAAATCCAATCCGTAGTAGGAAACACACGAATGTGGCTCTCGGGAGAGAGCCTCAAATTTATTTTCTTTTTTCTTCAGAAACAATAATACCAGAATACCAGAAGCACCACCCAAGGAAGGCCATCAGCGCCACCAACACCAATAAACAGTGAAATCGCCTTTGTATATAAATCTAATGTATTGTATGTATTTTTAATAAAACTAGGAAATATCACGAACTAATTTTTCATCATCCTAGGTCAGTGCTTATGTGGAGACTTAACCTCTCCCCCAAATTCTTAAACCTAATCCTAGATCTTACCCTAACCCACAATCCTCCGCAACAATCACATGCCCTAGCCCTGTTTACATCTCATGACCTTGACAAAATCTGCAGGTAGCCGTAATGTTTATATCTGACATTGTTAGTGAAGGACAGAAAGAGGTCATTATAGCTGAAATATGTAGATATTGATGGCTAAGATTTTTGAGGTAAGAATAATGTCGATGTATCCCCATTCCCATTTACAAAAGATCTTTCATCTTTACCATTCACACTTGAAGCAGAAATGACAAGACTATTGAAAGGATGAAAAAGTTGATTTCATTTTTATGTCACAGACTCAAGTCTCATAAAACTGTTAAATCATCACCTGTTCACCAGGTAGACATGAATCTTCTCCAAGATGTTTTAATTCTTCATCCACATCATTAATATCTTGTTCCTCAAACTCTCCTATTGATGAGAAAGCAGCAGGTGATTGACAGATCCTCTCGTCTCTTTCCTGGATATTTACACCTACTCTAGGTTTACTGGGAAAAACAATCAAAAATATTTGTTTTATGAACGATAAGAAGTATTGTCGAAAACATCCTTTCATTGATAAAAACATTATTTAATCTTCGCTTGTAATTCTATATATGTTAAACAGAAATATATTATACATTTCAGATGGCATTTGTTCCTCCTGGTAGGACTTATTCAGATGAAGCGCTATATGGTTGGAGTTGTTCAGATGTCAATTGTCTGAAGTGCTATGGTAGGACTTATTCAGATGGCAACTGTCTGAAGTGCTATGGTTTGAGTTGTTCAGATGTCAATTGTCTGAAGTGCTATGGTTGGAGTTGTTCATATGTCAATTGTCTTATATGCTATGGTGGGAGTAGTTCAGATGGCAATTGTCTATAGTGCTATGGTTGGAGTAGCTCATAGGTCAACTGTCTTAAGTGCTATGGTTGGATGGAAAAAGAAATGGGGTTTAACATTCACTCAACATAAACCATATCATTTTGGGACTGACATATGATCTATTTCTATTTCAATTATTTACAGGGCAGTGTTTAGTGGTGGGTTGAAAACTAGAGATCCTGATGAAAACCCTTGAGGTCATGCAGGCAGTGTACAAACATGGAACCTGATTCTTGAGACATCCAGGATTTCTTCATATTATCATGTTATAAATCTACTTACTGTAATAAACCAACTGGAGCACTGACAGATCTATTACTTTCATTACCTGTAATTATAAAACATTGATTATTACCTGTAATTATACACCCCAATCTGAACACAGAGATCCATCTACTTCATACTTTGAGAATAGATCTCTGCCCTAAATGACCGCCATATCCATAAATTAGTATACTGTTCTGTAATGCGTTTCTAGCCTGTTTAAAATCTGTCATACACACGAAGACTAAATAAAGTTTTTCAATTTTATCAAATGGAAGCAGAATAAATTCTCAAAGTATACTTAGTGTATTTGACTAAAATCGTTGATTTAGGACTTAAAATGTCGGTGAACTAGCTTAGTGTCTGTTCTCAAGCAGAGCTAACTGTAAACAGACAGTTTAAGTTTAGTATGGGGTACACCCATCAATATAGTAAATACCATCATAATACTTTCAATTTTCCTTGGTATTATGATTTATCTGTTCTCAAATACAAATAGCAAGAGCAGAAGAACTGCACCACACATAAACAAACAAACAGAAAAACATATTTTGTTCAGTAAAAACTAGTAAGCACACAAATAAAATAACTACTATTAAACAGGAACTAACCTAAATGCGTTGCCGAGGCTATAAGAGATAAATATTCTTTCTGTTGATTGGTTGATGAAACTCCAGAATAATTCATTCGTCGCATCTTGCGGAAAAATTCCTAAAAAGAAAATCAATTTGTAACAATATTGTTAGGTATCTATACAGAGTTACTGTTCTTGATGTCTGAAAGCCTTAAGAGATAATAAGTGTATATTTACATTTGACAAAAAATGAAATGAAATGGGGTTTAACGTCCTACTTTTCTGCACCAACTGGGCTAATGAAGACAGGCTTATGTCATGCAGTGTGCTAAGAGTAAACTTTATCCGGACCGCAGCGCTATCCCACTTTTACATCAAATTCCAACTGAAAAGGAATTCTTTTACGTGCATCTCAATGTGTTCACTAGGGCTGCAACGACTCACAACTACCTCGATTCGGTTCGATTTTCGATTTTAACCATTCGATTTGATTATTTTCGATTCGATTATCAGCTACAATAGCCAGTAATTTTTCCTGTATATAATACATTAAAAACAATGAAAACACAACACTAAAATTCTCTTGAACACTTTTATTGGTTTGACAGGTTTGTTGTGTTTCCTGTTTTATGGGATATGTCAGTGTAGCATACTCTACAAGTTGCCACATCTTTAGAGTTTTTTCTTACACCAAAATGATCCAAAACTTTAGATTTCAAATGACCAGGTGGTCGAGAAAGTCCGTCGTCTGCCATAATTTTACCTTCCAGTCGTGTTTGCTACGGGTAATAATCGTTAAACACGAAAATATCCGAAGATAATGACCGGAATTATCAGCTAATGAGATCGTTTAGAATTTATATAACGATTACCGAAGCTATTGACCTAGATTAACATCCAATGAACATTCGGTACGTCACCAATTTTAAATAAATTAACTTTCGTCAGCATACGGAAATTGTTTTAAAGGGAGGTCACTCTGTTTTAGTTATGTTTTCGAGTGACATTCGTGTCTTGTTAAATAACGTAAATTAAAAGTTACGCAAAAACAAAGTTTTTTTTAAATTTAAGTGGACTTAATTGCTTCAGGTCTTTCATTTTTTTCCATATGGTAAGGTGTACGTTGTTTTTATTTGAAATTTAATTTGCAATTGAACCGAATCGAAATTTGAACGTTGTAGATCGTGGATCGAACCGAGGCGGCTAGTGTCGGTTATCGGTGCACCGAACTGAATCGTTGCAGCTCTAGTGTCCACAGAATCTCGGTTATTCGTACCATTCCAATGACTATACAGCTGTCCTTGTCGGGCCCTACGTCCTGCATCTCTGACAAAGCAAAACCGTGCTGGAAAATCTGAGACCCCAAGGCTAGCTAGACAGCGTCTTTTTCACTGAGACATGGTGACTCCCTTACGTTTTACAGGATCTTCAGTTATTCCGGTTCATTCATCCATTGTCTAAATTAATGTACTTAATTACATAGAAAGAACTACTTACCATGTCAAAATCAAACATGGAACCCTCTCTGTAAAATGAATTTTGAACAATTTAACAAACTGAGAAACATGAGGTAAAATAATGTCAATACAAGGTCAAAGGTCGGAAGAGATTATGGTTTTCAACACCCATCAAAACATACAACATTAGTTTATTTTATGGATCAGTGCAAACACACATTACCAACATAACAAATACAATTTCAATCCTATCACTTCCATAATTAATGAAAATACTGCTAACAGACTTTAATGATAAGACAAGGATACCCCCCGAATCCTGATATTATCATTTACTTCTGTTAAATAATTAGATCAGAATCAGTTCAAAAACTTACTGTGATGCTGAATCCCCAAGTAAATGCTGAATAACCATGATATCATCTAATGCTGATTGGTTGACGCTAGTAGTCATGTGACTAGAAGCCTGCGCTAATACTCTTTCATTCATATCGTTCTCCTGAAATTAAAACATCAACAATTATATGAAAAATAGCAGAGGCTTTCAAACTATAGAAGGGCTGCAATCCACTGGTGGGTCGCAAAGAAAATTTCTGAAATGTGCTTTTTGACACGAAGTTCAGTATATATATATATGGCACCTTAGATATATGTTACACTGTCTTGTCTACATGGCATACACACTGTGCCAATGAACCTGTGGCCTTCATGTCTTAGAGAAAGTGTTATCCATCAAAGGTCAGCGTTCATCAAAAGTTTTAAACAACATCACTAAATAAATTTTGTTAGAAATGGATGTCTGCTATAAAGAAAGGGGGTTGGGTGGCCAAATGGTTAACATGGATCACAAGGAGTGTCATTGAGTCAAGTGGCATGGTTTCAATTCCCAGCTTGTACATGACAAGGAGTAGGGTCGCCTGTCTAACCCCATGGGTTTTCTCTGGGTCATCCGGTTTCCTCCCACTGCTAAAGACCCCTATATGCACAAGTGAATTACTGAAATAAAACTGAACCATGTGTTAGTCCTGAATTGACCTAATATGTGTCGAGTGGACGTTAAACCCCATTTCTCTTTCTCTCTTTGCTATAAAGATCTTGTGCTTTGGTAGTCATCTTCTCATAAAAACTCCAACACAATAATGGAATTTCAGGCCTTGCCCTGGTTCTATTTCCATTCACAGTGTTGGCTGAGAAAGTTCCTCAGTGTGGTTTCCCCTTGTCAGAGGAAAAATAAAAAAAACCTAGTTCTTGTCTACAGTATAGGGAAACGCTGCTCTCCAGGCAAAATTTAAACCCCAATATTGTTTCCTTTCATTTCCCACAAGTTCCTGACTGGAATTACCTTTTCTGTTTTCCATTTCATCTTCATATTAACAGGAGCAGTTTTAGGTCGATGACCTGCGGTTACAGCACCTGCACTACGTGAAGATGCACGGTCACTTTTCTTCACATATGTGTGACCTCCAAATTTATTCTTTGATCTAGAATAACACGAGACTTCTATATTAATTGTACATTTAGCATGTTAATTCCTTCAATAAATATTTCATAAATAATTATGTCAGTTATCCTAAAGATGCCTGATCCCAGTTTCCAATTGGAGAAAGGCTGAAGGTGATTAAACCTGTGGCTTGCATACATGACAGGCCTTATGATCTAAAATATGAATGTTAATAATAATGTGCATTTATAGAGTGAGTAATCCATCCAAGTTGCATGCTCTAAGCGAGGTAATATGTCAATGGCTACTGTGAATAATACATCATGAACATGTCTGAATTTTAGAATTAAACTGAGCTATCGATTTGGAACACTTTAGACTTCTTCGATTTTATCTCCAGCCCAAGAAACCATAAAAGAAATGTGTCTTGTGTTAATGATCTAACATATATGTCTTAAGTTTAGATTTAAACTGAGCAATCGAGTTGGAACACTTAAGACTCGATTATGACTCTAGCCCAAACAACCCAAAAAGTCATCTGTCTTGTGTTAATGTTAGACTATCTCTCCCTTGCCCCTCACCAAAAAAAGTAAATTGTCTTACTTGTATCTAGTAGGATCAGGTGTTATTTTACCTCTCCAATCTATACCAGGTAGTGGAGTGATAGGTAAAGGTGTTGATGATAACTGATTGACAGCTACAGGTGTAACACACGTACCATGTACAGCTGATGATGGTGGTTGACTGTAAAATAATCACAAAAAACATGATCAGTTAAATTATCAATTTTTTTTCAGTCTGATTTTCTATATTGTATTAGTAAGAGCAGGAGGACTGCACCACACATAAACAATTACACAAGATAAACCTATCGACAGGACACACAATATACTCAGAGATTTCATACAATAAATAACAAAATGAAATGAAATATTGAATTCCAACTTCAAAGGGATCTTTTATGTGCACGCTAATGCATACACAGGACCTAGGTTTTTCATCCCATCCGGACGACTAGACAGCTGTCCTTGTCAGGCCCCCCGTCCTGCACCACTGACTAGGGGAAACAATGTCGGAACTTCTATTGAACTTTCTCGACCAAAACCGGTAGCAAACCTGCGACCACCAGGCCATCGTGGCTCCCCAATAAATAACAAACGTAATTATCAGATCAAGAGAATGGATCCAGTGGCCAGATGTAAGTATACACTGCGCTGTATGTATCCATCTTGTTATTTAAAATGTAATATAAATTACTGAAGATCGGAACAAAAATATATGGTGACAAATTTTTAAGTGTAAACATGAAAACCTGGCAACGTTTCGAAGAGTATTCTCTCATAATAAGCTTGATAATGTTGAGAGAATACTCTTTGAAACGTCGCACAAATAAATTAGTAATTGTTATCCTTAAGTAGGTGTAATCGTTTAGTATATTTACTTACATGGGTGTATTGTGTCTCATTGGTTGATTTATCATGGTAAAATTAGCAGGTGATAATGAAGGAGTGGGTGTGGTGGGTAAATCACTTACTGCTGGACGACGGAAACCATGATTTGCTGGCTGAATCAACTGTTAAAATATACAAACATTATATAGACACATCAAGATTTTAAAATCATGAATTAAAATGGGTTTAAACATTCCACTTTTCTGCATGACACAATTATATGGAGAGGTGACAATTCGACGACAGTTCTCTCATTCTTATGAAGCAAAAAATGTTGAAAGATTTATTTCTGGCAACATTTCGATGAGGGTTCTCTTGTCCTTCTGCATGCGCTGGGCTAATAAAGACATGTAATGAGCTATGAGTGTAATTTTGCCCTGACAGTGGCACTACAGCCTACTCTTATTTCTATTTACTAGTGACAGGGGATCTTTAACATACCCTCAGTGGTGTACATGGAACATGTTTTTTTTATCCCATCCGAATAAGTCCTTGTCAAACATATCCTTTACCACAAAGATGGGAAAGTACCTTGGAAAATCCTAAGTATCTTTCTCAGCAAGCATGGTAACAAACCCATGACGTTCTGATTAATGTGCCAGTGCCATAGGCACCAAACCACTGTGGCTTAATAAATGGGGGAGTCGATGGCTATCCAAGAATGCCAGAATATGACATAAATATAAAAACAACCATGGTTACCTTTTCTTTATACTGTTCCATACCATCTGTAACATTATCAATCATAGTAACCAAGGTATCTAATTTTATATCAACTGCTGGAATATCTCTTGGTGATTCCCTACAACACAATTAATACTTTATCACTCAATAACACATTCTACAGTAGATATCGTTTGTGTGATAACTTTCATATTCTACTGAGCGATATCTCCTAAGAGACATTGCTTTACATGAATTTTATTTATACCCAAAGAATTATATTATTTATTTATCTGTGCGTGTAAGAAAGGATTGGGTGATAAATGAAATCTTCTACACGTCTTTTTTAATATCAAAAAATATGAACACTCGTCGATAATGTAAAAAAAACTTGGCAAAGACTCGTTCCTTTTTAAAATTATCGACTTGTGTTGATATTTTTCATATCAAAAAAGACTTGTTGGAGATCCTCTATATAACAGAATATTTTAATACTGATACATACTCTCTATATAACAACAAAATATATTAATACTTATACATAGGCTACTCTCTATATATCAACAAAATATATTAATACTTATACATACGCTATATGTATCAACAAAATATATTAATACTTATACATAGGCTACTCTCTATATAACAACAAATTATATTTAAACTTATACATACTCTCTATACAACAACAAAATATATTCAAACCTATCGGTATACCCAAATTCATTCAAAATGAAAACAAACGCATCATAACAAGGGAGACAATCCCCAAACACAAACCACTTAAAAAAGGAGCATTATTATAAAATAATAAATTTGTCTGACCTGTCAACATTAATAAGATGTCTTCCTAATGGTGTTGCTGGCGTGTGTGTTCGGGTTTTACTGGAAGCTGATCTGGGGACATCAGCCGTTAATTTGGGAACTTTTAACGGATAAAATTTGTCAGCAGTTTCGTAAAAATCTTCTAAAGTTTGACTGGTTAAAACACTTTCTTTTCCTCTTGGTGATTTTGAAGCTAGAAATAAAACCAAAATATCTTTTCACAACATTATTTAACCTTTAAAGTCTCTATAAGTAAACTACAGGTCAAAAAATGGTTCAATTCCATTCAGTCCCAGATCTAGTTGATCAATAAATGTACCGGGTCAATCACATTTTGGGTTCAGTGCAAGATTGTGAATTGATTTGATTGACTGGTGGGGTTTGTAATATGATGGACTTTTGGCTAAAGGTTTCTCACTTAGCCTTATATTAATCTTATATTAGTGGCTTATTGTTGTCTTTAAACGGACTGGCTCAGATTTGTATATTGATTGAAGTTTCAAACTTCTGTTTTAATACAAAAAATGTTCAATATTTATATTCTATTAACTTGTGCTACTCTCAGAATCCACAGAATCACTGTGGTTTTCGCACCGCACTGGACCATAGGCCTATGCTCTTTTTTCTTAATTCTGCTCCATTCACGCCATTGACTTGTCCCAGACCCCCGTAGGGGTGATGATTTTCAGTTTGTCCACATATCTGCTTTAACAGATTTTCATAAAATATATAGCAATGTCTCTATAAATCCTAACCTTTAACTTTTTTCCCATCTTTAGTAAGTTCTCGTATAAGTTGTTTAGTTTGTTGTTCAGGCATCTCAGCCGATTCATGTGCGTTATATCTGATATCTAAACCTGTACCACTTCGACCAACAAAATTCATTTTACCTTAAAAATAAAAATAATTAACAGAGTTTAATATATGATAATGAAGCCAATAAAAAGTGTACAAGGACTATTTTAGAATTTTACGGCAAAATAATCTCAGCTATAACAAGCTATAACAGAGGCGAATTTAACCATAATGGGGGCCAATTCATTCTGTGGCATTAGGGATAATTTCATATTTAAAAAACACTTAGTTTTATTTAATATCACTCTTTGATTGGATGTCCCCCTGAACCTTCGATCCGGTTTCTGCCCCTCTTTGCACATCATTGAGTGTATAACACTTCTTGGTAGCCCTTCTATTTTTGGATTTAGCCATTATTTTCAAACAAATTAAACCAACAATGAAATAATCTTAAAATCATGATTTTAAGGTAAAGTCCTTTAGTTATTAATAACCTATCTCTCTGTAACATAAAAAATCATAAAACAAATTGAAACACATATATTTCTGTAACATATTTTTGGGGGGAACTCCAAAATCTTTGGGCTCGGTTTTTACATTTCCTTAAATAGGGCCCCTGATTCTTCCTAGTACCAGAAAAATATATTCCTATTCTTCTCTTCCACAAAATAAGAATTATGGTGATATAATATACTAAATATTTAAATTTCATAGCTTACCTATAATATCCTGTCCATATGTTCTTTCTTTATTAAAGGCTTGCCATGTCATTAACATATCAGCTCTTGTATTAGGTACTGTGATTGGTCGAAAAACTACACTCTGGTCATTCTTACTACCTATAACAGATTAAACAACTAGCTACATCATACCTGATAATTGTTCACAATGAACTATCACCTGTATTTATGTATATGACATATGCAGATAAATTAAACCAACAGTTGCCATATTGACGGGCAGTTTCGATCCATTTTCCACAAACTCAATCATATTAGGGTGTAACGGTGATAAATTTAAACGTTTTTTAAAATTGAATACAAATTGTTACTTCTAGATGGTCAACAAGCTAAAACTGTGATTTTTCAAACAATTCATGAAACTACGGTCCAATACATGCCAATTTCGAAAAGGAACCAAGATCTTTGGGAGACTGTTATTTCAAATTTCGTCAAAATTCAATAAAAATTGTGACCTGTATAGTGTCCACAAACAAATTGTGAGCGGACGTCCAGACGGACAGGAGAGACCACAATATATGACCACATGAAAATGTGGGGGTATAAAAACTTACTTGTTCAAAGAACACAACTACACAAATAAAATTTGTTTGAAGCTCAGGGGGAGTCATAGTAACCAGTGAAGTCATAATGTTAATATGACGTCATAACTTTGATATAAAGAATAAAGCTAAATATAGATAAATGATGTCACGGTTAAAAACAGGAATAATAGAAAAGGTGTAGATTTAAATTACAGTCAGTTCATTTAAACCAATAGGCTATACAGAATATAATCTGTGGATCCAAAATGATTCTGCAATATTAAGTTTGGCTTTATCGTTCTGAGGAATTTTATCCAGCACAGTGCAAACATAACAATCATGACCAGTCTGGTACTAAAAGGCGTGATAGTCTGACCAACATACTGTTTCTTACAAAACTGACACAACCTACACCTTTATTTGTGAATGAACAACATAACTATTTTAATACAAGATAACACATAAAATATAAAGATCTGAAATGTTTTTTTAAAATACACTTAATTTTCTTGGATATCCCAGATAAAATTCTACTGCAACTAAGATTTCAGATGCATTGATATCCGTTAAAGATAAAGTTTAAATTGTTAGAAATCAATCTTACCTTTTATACTAGTAGTGGTAGAGTTATCTGTTTGTTCTGGTGTAGTTATGTGTGGATTAACCAGACTCGCTATAGAATGAACCATCTTCTGTGGACCTCGACTTAAAGGTTGCTGATAATTACAAAATATATTTCATTTATACAACAATGTCATTTAATCCCAACTTGTGACTTGAACTAGGATATCAGGAAACATGAAGAAAACCAGGGATGGATAAAGGTATTTAGTGCACTGAGCCAAAAATTACACAGAATCCCTGGGGTAAAGAAAACACTTCACCCAGGAACTATTAATTACAATTTTGGAGATTTATATAAAAACAAAAAACACACTTATGGAAAACAACTACATGTACGGCAATACTATATACTGGAAAACACCGGAAAACACCCGGAAAACACCATTTTATACTGAATACCGGAAAACACCGGAAAAACATCCCAAATACCGGAAAACATCCCAAATACCGGAAAACACCCTAAATAGGTAACCCGGAGCCTGGTCCTCTGTGTGCGGTTTTGGACCAAGTGAGCGCCGATGAAGGAAGGTCAAGGTCATTATGATGTTCGTTTTACAAATAGCCCCCCCCCCAAAAAAAAAAAAAATTCCGATTTTTTTTTCTCCAAAATTTTTTTGACGAAAAAAAATTTCTGTCACAAAAAAAAAAAATTCAAATTTTTCCGAAAACATGGTTTTACAAAAAACATTCCGTAGAAAATAATTTTACAGAGAAAAATACTGGAAAAAAATTTAGATTTTTTTTTTGAGAGAAATTTTGGAGAAGAAATTGTTTAAAAAAAATCTGAAAATTTAGTTTTTTTTTTCTCCAAAATTTTTTTGACGAAAAAAATTTTCTGTCACAAAAGAAAAAATTCGAATTTTTCCGAAAAATTGGTTTTAAAAAAAAAACATTCAGTAGAAAATAATTTTACAGAGAAAAATACTGGAAAAAAATTGTTAAAAAAAATCTGAAAAGAAATTTTTCTTTGACCGTAGGCGACCGCTCGCTTGTATGTTAATGAACTTATTTCATCAGCGCTCACCTGGTCCAAAACCACACTCGAGGACGAAACTCCGGGTTACTAAATAGCGACCGGAAAACTTAGAAGAGTAAACTGTGCCCGAGATTTTTTTAGAAAATGCAGGTTTACTTTGAAATAGTGCAAATGATACTTTTCCATCAAAGGATGCAAGTTCTTACACAGTGCAGTATAATTTGTGCAACAGAAGACATCTCGAATATCGATTGTCGGAGAAAACATTTTCTCGGGGACATTTTTTTCCGAATACGCATTCGGTGTAAGTCTTCAGCCACCAGGAAGTGGTTAACATAGTAATGTTTTATTACGATAGTAGTACATAAAACAAATTGGTTGCCAGAGGTTCTCTGGGAGAAATTAGCCTCATCGGCTAGAGTCCTCTATTTCACAAACAAAAACAACAATTGCCTCCTTGAAAATTTATCGAACAACCTTTTTTACAGAAGTCCAGCTTACAACTTCCCGTCAATGTAATAAGATAGAATATGTACTTTTCTCATGGACAATTGGGCGAAAGTTGGAGTTTTCTCAAGGAAAACTGGTCAACAAGTTGGGGAAAAAAGCTTGAAAAGTAATCCAGAAAAAAATCATGTGTGTGGCCCTCGGAATATGATGGAATATGTTGAATATTATTATGATTCAAGTGATTATATTTGATCCTGGAATGAAAGTAAGCTCAGAAACAAGTAGATTTTTAGCCCTTCCAACGAGATGGATAGTTCTTGGAAAGGATAGACACATTTCAGATTACAGCCTGTCCAAGAATTGCGTGGCATCCATTTCGTTTGGTGATTAGGACACATAGCGGTTAAACCTGGAATTTCAAGTCGAACTATTCAGAGATTTATTAACTCGCTTTTGATGATACTTGCCGTTTTATGATGCGATTTTTTTGTTACCTAGGGAGGAGTTGGCCTAGTCGCGCCTTCCACTAATTCGTACCACCCTGATTCCAGCGTTACTAGTAAGAATCAGGAGACCGGCGCAACCGGCATATAATGGGGCCCTTCGAGGGCAGTGTTTAATCTACTGAAACACTGAAATTTACTGAAAACAAAAATTAAAATACAAAATATAATATGGTCAATGATGGAGGTAGACTGATTGCGTCTTTTAAAACATTCAAAACATAATAGGCATTAACAAAATTTTGGAGAAAAAAAAATCGGAAATTTTTTTTTTGGGGGGGGGGGGGGCTATTTGTAAAACGAACATCGTAATGAGCTTGACCTTCCTTCATCGGCACTCACTTGGTCCAAAACCGTACACCGGGTTACCTATTTAGGGTGTTTTCCGGTATTTAGTGTTTTTCCGGTGTTTTCCGGTATTCAGTATAAAATGGTGTTTTCCAGTTGTTTTCCGGTGTTTTCCGGTATATAGTATGGCCCCTACATGTAAGCCTACTAGTGTATTTTAAGGTGACGTTTCAAAGAGTATTCTCTCAACATTATAATGCTAATTTGTTTTTACTCTATCCAGTTACTAAATGCAATTTAAAGAAGACTATATAGTTGTAAATTTTCTTAGAATTATTGTTAATTCCAAGGTAACTGATTCCCTTGTTAAGCTTGATATATACTAGGCCACGATCTTGGCAACCAAAGTCCTCGTCAAGTACAACCATGGAATGAGACCACTGATGCATATATAAAACAAACCAATTGACTCTATCTATGTGGTCACCAAATGTAACATACCTGGAGTTTTCTCCCTTTAAACTGAATTGGTGATGAATAAGCCGTCTGCGCTCTTGGGATGGACATTCTGTTAACATCAATAAACATGTTTTCCTGGTCGCTGTCGCCACATTCGCTATCACGATTTAACACCTCTTCATAGTCAACCTCGGTAGTTAGGTCAAGGTCAATACCACTATGACTATTGCTATTCCCGGCAGACGAAAGATCGTCTATCCCTGTCTGAGAGAAATTATCTGTTCCTGGCTGAGAGAAATTGTCTATTCCCGGCTGAGAGAAATTGTCTATTCCCGGCTGAGAGAAATTGTCTATTCCCGGCTGAGAGAAATTGTCTATTCCCGGCTGAGAGAAATCATCATCACAACTGTTAAGAATCTTTGAAACCTGAAACTAGAAACAAAAAAACATCTATCTGAAACAGAACCTACAAATTAAAATGGTACCGGATAAAATAGATGCTAAAATCAACATGCGAGTCAAGGCATGAGGTTTAATTTCCTGTCAACACATTTTTTTAGTCATTCTGAGACTAACATGTGGTACATTTAATTTGTATGGATGCAAATTTTGACTGGACAAACTCCACCAACTCTTCTTTAAATTTCAACTGCCAAGGGATCTTTTATATGCACAACAAACTGTACACATCAATCCCGGTTCTTACTGGACAGAGATGGCACCTGCAAGGTTGACACAGAAACTGTGTCTAGATGTTTGCATGGGACAAAAACTAAGGTTCTTCGTAGAAAGCATTGGCGTGCATGAAAACAGTTGGCAGAAATGCTGTTGTCCAGGCAAAATTCTCCTACCTTTCATTACACATGTAACCATAGACATAAAAAATAAGATGGTGTTTGTCTAAAATTGACTTGATTATTGTGATGCAGAGACACTAAACCCCATTCTATTCCTAATATATAATATAGTACATATAGCACCTGTAGTCCTATATAGATGTTTGACTGTGAAAGAATGGTGATCAAACCAGAGTAATATATACAATAAAGTATATATAGTGATAGGTACAGGATTATACTATTCTAATATATAACATGGGGATTATCTCATAATAAACATTATTACATACATATTATATACACTATCAGGCCAATTACAATTAATTCAATGATTCTGGTTTTTGTTCATGTCTAATTATATTGGTTCATTGACTAGGGTTTTGATCCTGCAGGGTTGGTAGAGAAAGTTCCTCGGGATTATACAGTCTCGTCTCCCTTTGTCAATGGTGCAGAGCAAAGTGCCTGGTAAGGAAAAGTGCATAGTCATTCGAATGGGATGAAACACGAAGGTCCTGTGTTGACATTGGTAGCATGTTAGGGGGGTTGGATGGCCGAATGGGTAGCGTGCTCGTAGTATCATAAGGTTTGTCATTGAGTCAAATGGTAGGGTCACCTGTCCAACCTCGTGGGGTTTCTCCAGGTCCTCCGGTTTCCTCCCACTGCTAAAGACCCCTACGCACAAACGAATAATTGAAATAAAATTTAACCATATATGTAAGTCTCAAAATGATCTAGCCTGTGTCCAGTGGACATTAAAACCCATCTGTCTGTCTGTCTGTCTGTCTGTGTGTCTCTGTCTCTGTCTCTCTCTGGTAGCATGTTAAATATCTAAATAAGAGTAAGAAGTAATCATGCTACTGTCTGGACAAAATCTTCCTCATACCAAAGTGTGTGCTTGCCGTCATTTTGAAAAAAGTCAAGAATACCCATTAACCCATTCAAATTCCTCACCCTATCCAATAGTTGTACAGCTGTGTTTAGTTCTCCAATACAATTTAACACTAAAGACAAAACCTTTTTTGAAGGATTATTATTTTTTTTGGCCTAAGATCAAGTCAGTGCAGTAAGAGTTATAACACTTATTTAAGGCCAAACCAGATGAATTTTGAGTTTTTCAGAGTCTTGAGAAATAATAGCCACTTGAGTATTGTGAACACTTTTTTGTTTAAAAATTTCAAAACTGTGGAACTAAAAGCTGTTATTTCTAAATTATTGTTTTCTCCCAAGAAATAAGAAGCAACAACTTGAAATTTCAAAACTTTTAAATGTGAAACTAAATGCCTTTGAATAGAGCAAACAGGTTATAAAAAGTACTTATAGTTTTAAATTTTATTTTTCCCCAAGAAATAACACAAATTTTAATAGCTATAACAAAAGAACAAAAGTTCAAATTAGTGTGGCCAATGTGGCTCTGATCTTAGAAGAACAAACAAGTATTTATTGTTTTAAAACTATTTTCTCCCACGGCCATGGTGAATTGTGTTCAACCCCTGCATTGGCTGAGAAAGTTCATCAGGATTATACGACATGGTTCCACCATGTCAGTGGTGTAGGACAGAGGGCCTGGCAAAGGACAATGTATAATCATTGGGATGGGAAGTCCTGTGTACACATTGATGTGTATAAAGTAGGCCGTGGCGCTGTTTTCCAGGCAAAATTTCCCTCATAGCACACTGTGTGGTGTATGCCCGTTTTCATTTCATTACCCCAGTCGAAGTAGAACAGTATAGAATGTCAAACCCCATTTCATCTCTTCCCCCCCCCCCCCACGAAAAAAACGAATTATTTAATAGGTGTTTCAACTGGTGTGGCCTAAGTAGGTATAAACTTGTGTAATAAGAGTGTAAGTATGGGTATGTCAGTTTATAATCCTATTAATACTAGCTATAATATACTGGTATAAACACCATTTAATCAATAAATTAATCCAATAATTAGATCAATACAGATCAATATATCATAATCTATTATACTCTTGTTATTATAACTTTATACGACATACCAAGCAATTAAATCTCAAAGATATTTATTTCATTTGATCTATTATATCACTTATTCATTCAGTCACTTTTAATACTTTGAAAACTAAATATATTATACTTTAACAGTTTGACTATTCGTTCATTTACTTTCATTCATTTATCCATTAACGTCTCTGTTCCTAAACACTTAGTAGCTGATACACTGGGTTCCTTTTTTTATTGAACAGCCCCAAAACATCGTCTAATTAGAACACTGGTTTCAGTAAGTCTGCACTGATAACATATCTTATGTAAACTAATTTAAAAATTTAAATCAAAAAGTGCAATTCGTGAAAAAATGATATTCTATTTTGAAACTTACCAGTAAATTATTACTCGGTAGTTGGGTAATAAGGGAACTGAATTGTTCAAGCCCAGTTTGCCGATCTGGGGCAGTGTTGGCTGGAGACTGCAGCCAATTGGTTTTCTAGTCGTTGAGATGACTGAGGTCCATTCGTGTACACACTGGATTGGATGTAAATTGAAATTTGAAGAAGAGTTGTCAGAAATGCCGTTGTCAGCAAGTCTGGAAATATGGCACCTGTCACAACCCGTCTGGTGCCTCTCATATTGTCTGGGTTTTTTCTTTTATTAGTTTTATAAATACGTATCCGGTACCAAGTTCAAAATACCTAGTTTTGTCTGACAACTATTACTTGTTAATTCTAGGCCTAGCTGTCAAGATTAAATTCTGGTCTCTAACTTATCACACTTGATCATAATCTCAAATTAGCCAAAATATGACTTCTCAGGCAAAATGTACGAATATATAAATAATTAGGCCCCTGGCCAACAAATTAATTCAGTGGTTAATTATGTTTATTTAGTTTAGCTTAGATTTGGTGAAGAAAGGTGATAAATAACTATTGTAGTTTATTGGCAAAGATATTGATTTACAGGTGTGACTATATACAGTCATATAGATTACTACTTATATCATAGTAACTAGAATAATATTATAGTTTTACATAAACACTTCATGATATTATGATGTAAGAGTGATAAAGGTGTGAAATAGTGTTTATTGTCCATTAAACACAAAGTTATTTTGAGTCATAAATCTTTTTTTTATTATTTCAATTCACTTTTTGTTTTAGACATAGAGGAATCAAAATAAAAAAAACACAACATAATTTATATGGAAAATAGTGTAGGCTCTTTTTCCAAATGGAAATGGAAAGCTGCACCGTATTTATGAATGCGATAGGACTGGATTAATGTATGTAAAATTATCACCTCCATAATTGTTCTACTCCCAGCCCAGACATGTCTTTAAATGGTATTTGAAACACGGGTACATGGGGACAGGAATTCCTTTCTGGTACCCCATGTGATTTTTCAAATTTGTCAATTGTTTAGTATGGTCTTACTGTTTTTCAAAGTTTTTGATTTTCTATTCTTCAAATTTGGCGCTAAATCATATACAACCGTGCTAACAAACTCATCAAAATAAAAAAGCATTTAACACAACTATCTTGATCAAACAAAATGGCATGAATAGATAACAATGATAAATCTAGAAATAAATAATTAACACAAGGGATTTAGTAATTGAACATATTAACAACACAAGGTACAATTTTATGGATACACAATTACTGAGTTTATTACTATACAACATTTTGACAAGGAAACTCTCGTCTTTATTAATGAAAACGAGAGTTTCCTCGTCGCATAGTAATAAACTGTGTAATTGTGTATCTATAAAACTGTACCTTGTGTTAATATGCTGAATTACTAAATGCCTATCAAATAATTACCTCATCTTCTGAATCACTATCCGGCGCCGGTGCATGATGTGTAAAAAGCTGATCAGCTTCTGAAAGTTGTGGCATATTAAAATGACCGAGTGACATCAACTTTTTCAAAGCTTCCCGTGCTTCTTGTTTCTGATTCTCTTTTCCAAATCTCTACAGAAGCAAATAAGAGTGAATGAAATAGGGTTTCACTTCCAGTCATTTTGGGACTAACATATTGTATGGTGAAAAAATCAGTGGTAATGGATTTTTTTTATTTTGTCATTGTAACAAGAGAGAGAGAATGGGGGAATGGAGAGAATGGGGAGAGAATGGGGAGCGGAGCCAGGGAATATAAATGCGGAGGGCTTAGGCTTGTTTTATTAATCACTATAGATGTAGGTGGCATACAGAAATGTGAGAATGGAAGACATTTTAAATGTGTAAAAACAGACGAAATTAACTTTTATTAATATTCAAGTTGAGCAGCTTGTACAGTGAAGTTAACAGCGGTAATTTCAAATATTTCTATGCCTCCTCTGTCCCATCCATACACCACTTGATTTATCAGAGATAAAAGAGGACTGCCATGTAACATAAATACTATGAAACACAATTTTCTTAACTTAATTATATGAAAGAATAAAGTTGAATGACTTACAGGCCCACTATGAAGATTATGTTTATTTGCTTTATACCATAAAAATACTTTCTCTACTTCTAACTTCTGTTGTTTACCTTCACATCTATATAAACACAAAACTCATACAAATAAACTTAATGTAATTTTAGATCAAGTCTCTCTAATTACCTTTCATTATTGTGGTCTTATTACAATTACAGTGATAAAAACACTGACAGGCACTAAAGGGGTTGTGTCTGACAAAGCGTCTATTTGTGTTTTACAATGTCTGTGACAGGTGCCATATTATACATTTAATGTGACACTTCGATTAAAGCCAGAGAGAAACAAGGTTTAACATCCACTCAACACAAACTAGGTTATTTCAGGGCTAACATATGGTTCACTTTTATTTCAATAATTTGCTTGAGCATTGGGGTCATAAGCTGTGGGTTGAAACCAGAGGAACTGGAGAAAAAACACTAATTGAAACCATACATCACTTGACTCAATGACAAACCTTATGATCCATGTGCACACATTAAAGAATGTGAGGTTGGAGTGCAGCAAAGAATCGTGATTCGCCTGTTGCGCAAATTCAATGCCCTAAATCATATGTGGGGATGGACCGCGGCGACAAAATTGTGATGGGTGAACATACATATACACACTTATTTATAAAGATAAATCATCTTGTGTTAGATAACAATAAGAGAACACTTGTCAAAACATTGCACCCTATGTATAACTAACCATTTATGTATTCCATATAAATGGTGAGCCATGGTGGCTCAGTGGGTAGGACACTGGTAAGGTAAGGTCCCTAGTTCGATCCTGGTGTTGGCCAAGAGACTTTTATAGCATGGTTTACTTTTGTCAGTTGTGCATTACGGAGGACAATAGACAAGCTGTGTCTCATTCAAGGACACGAGGATTTAACATGAAGCGAGGCTGAAGATTCACTGGTATTAAATTACAGCTTCTAACTAATGTATAAGGACTGTGTAGGGATTAAGTGATGTGGTCCAGGACATGCGGATTCAACACCAACCCAGCTTCAGGGTTCACTGGTACCAAATTACAACTATGGTAGCTTCTTAATGGATATAAAGGGATCAAGTAGGGATTATGTGCGTGGTCAAATGGGTAGCTTCTTAATCTATATTCAGGGATCAAGTACTTACTTATTTAAGACATCACACAACATGGTGGTTATAATTTGGAAGAATTTTGTGTCTTTTTCTGTATTTTCCCTTCAGAAACAAAAAATGTTAATCATTAAATAATAATAAAAAAAAATAATGCAATAAATTGAATATTAAGTAAATTTTAAAACATATTTTTAAGTGATTTTATACATAAAACTATTAATTTAATAGTATTTAATGTGTTTTTTTTAAGATTAAATTCTTTGAAACTCTAATTTTAGAGCATCGAATTTGAGTGACAGACTGTTATCCAGCCGGTCAACTTCAATGCCAGTCAGTCAAGGCTGGCAAATATAACTGAAACAAGACCCCTGGTCTATGTCTATCATATAATATTCCTAAAGCATTAACCATCCCAACACTTAAGCCAGTTTTCCATGTACGCAATGCATGTGCACGAGGGGCCCATGAGCATAAGGGCCCCTTATTCAAATCTATGTTGTGAAATGCTGTCAATAAATAAATACTATACTAAACTAAATTATAAATACTTATTGTGTTACAAATTAAATCACTGATCTTGTTAGAAGTGCCAATACACTATATATATCTACATGTATATACATGTTAATTTTAACGACCATACAGCTTTCTGTTGTTTAAGATGTGCCTGCAGACTCGCAATAATGAAAACATATGCACAATAATTTTATAATCTTAAAATTTGGTAAAACCTTTTTTTATCTAAAATTATCCAACAAAAATTTCTCTTTATATTAGAATTCACGATGAATAACATATTTCAGTCACTTACATCAAGTCCTTTGGTTTGCCAGTTATATGAGCTAATTTTAGGTCTTGTTGATGTTTCTCAATAACTTTAAACAAAGTCTTAAATGCCTGCATTTTCATCAGCTGGAAATAAACAATATAAATTTTTTAGGACCAACACATTGATTGTATATAATCGTTGATGTATGTTCGTGATTGGGTGCTATGTGGTGGCTCAGTGAGTAAGATGTTGTTTCATTAACCGCCTGGAGGTCCTGTGTTCAATACTACAGCTGAACAAGAAAGTTCATTGAGAATTTCCTGCATGATTTCTCCTTGTCAGTGGTGCAAGACGGCGGGTCTAGCAAGGGACAATTTATCATACAAAAAGCTGAGGTCCTGTATAGACATTGATGTGCACTTAAAAGGTCCCTTGGCAGTTAGAATTCGATATATGAGTAGACCGTAGTGCTGCTGTCTGGGCAAAATGTCCCTCGTAGCACACTGTACGACATATATCTGACTTCATTACCCAGGCGGAGTAGAACAGTTGGCCTTTAAACCACATTTCAGTTTGTCTTAATTTTTCAAAAATTTTATTATAGACTGTGCAAGTCTAAATTGTCCATTTTTATTATTTGTTGGTGAATTGTGCATTTTTTCTAAAAATCTCATACTAAAATGTACTTTCTGGGTAAATCTTATTTGAGAAATTTTGAGAATTACAGGATTTTTTTATGAAACAGGCAAGACCAGCACCAAAACCTAATTTTTAAAGAAGGAATGTCCCTTTAATTATGTATTAACAGGTACGTAAGCTGTATAGGATTTGTTAATTGTATTAATATAACAGTCAGTTTGACATGAAGGCCTTGTTGAGGTTATCAATCCAATAAATCTTATATCAATATTGACGCATTAAACACCCACTGTATATTATAGGGAGTGATCTTATACACCAGTTATATGCCATTATTGAAGGCCAAAGTCAATATACTTTCTAACTCCTGCTTGTCAAGTGGTCTTTAATATTTAAAGTGACATTCTCTTGAAGATAAAACATTCAAAACTATCCCACTACAGGTCAATAATATATACTTTTTAATGTTAAGATTAGTCCTATTTCCGGTATCTAATTAAGCATATTGGAACATAAAAAAAAACTTTTGTGACGAATAGACTGTCTTGTACAATTAGATAGAATTATTATTACTTTATTTGTCTAAAACAATAAAAATGGTGTGCAAAACCAATCAACATCGATGTAATGGTCATCGCTTAGTTTAACACTAATTCATTTCTATGTGAAGTTTGGACCATGTATTTCTTTAAAATAAATACACTTTTGATTCTATGTTTACAAAGCCCAGAGCTTTGACCAAATTATCTTTGAAATCACTCTGAAAATGTATCTGATTTGTTTACTATCAATTGTTCACCATACCCATCGAAAAGAAGGGACATGTAGCTTTTCATTGTTTGCCTAGTAATTTGGATAGAATGAAAAATGACTGTACACCACAAATTTTCTTTATACGATAATTATTCATCAAAAATTTTATTTTTATTCTTTTCCCATCCAACACAATAAAATTTCTTTCGATTCAGGCATGCGCCAAAAAATGTTACCTCTTGAGATATTTGTGTCTATTTCAGCCAGACTTGCAAGATTTTTAGGCTCATTTTATCTAAGATGTATTTTTATATATGTGAAGTCTTTGTAAGAAAGAGTTCCGTTTGTAACTTTCTATATGAGTAAATGAAATGAAATGGGGTATAGCATCCTACTTTTCTGCTTCTGCTTCCACTGAGATAATGATGACGGGCATTCGCCATACAGTGTGCTAGGAGGGAAATTTTGCCGGGACAACGGCGCTATAGCCCACTCTTATATCAAATTCCAACTGCCAAAGGATCTTTTACATTTACACAGGACCTTGGTTTTTTGCCCCATCCAAACAACTAGACAGCTGTCCTTGCCAGGTCCTCTGTCCAGCACCACTAACAAAGGGGAAACCCCTATACAGGTAAAGGATTTGAGAGAATTTTTGGGATATAGGATGGGAAGTTAATATAGAAATAAAAAATAGGATAAATAGATCATCTAATTTGAAGTTAGGAAGAAAATGGAACTGTATAAGGTCCATGGTAAGAAGAGATTATAGTTATGATTACTATTTCCTCTTTAATATGTATTTGGATGTGTGCGTGTCTGTTGCGCAAAATTTTTTTTAATGTAAACACAAAGTTTAGGCCATACAAAAAACAGTCTTGTTTTCAGATATCGAATCATAACTCAGAAAAGGCCACATGACTCAATTTAATTTACCAATTCTGTTTTAATAGGGATAAGAGATGTCAAATTTATCTTGACACAAATTCAGGTTTTCATTTTTATAAATGTCTTGCATGTATACCATTGTCACAGGAATAAAATTTCATACCATAAGATGTTTACACACAGGGAACATTGGTCTTGATGTGGAGATTTAATATATATAGTACACTACCTTAGATTTTCGTAAAGATCGAAGTCCCTGTTCTAGTCCATCTGATCCAGACATCTTTTTACGGACAACTGTCGGCATCTTGTCTGACGTGGTTACTTTGATACTTCAGATATTGTTGGTCAAATATTAAAAATCAGGGCAATTACAGCAAAATAACCATTCTGAAATAATTTCACAAATGTTCACTTTTAGATTTAGCTCAACTATTCAAATGGTCATCTGCAAAATAAAAATAAATGTTTGTATTTCAATCATGTGTTGATGTGAAAACAGGATAATATACATTATATACAAAATGTGAAAAATGATACAGTTAAATATCAAATGTGAAAATATGATCAAGCTATAATCAAATGCTATTTCTGCATTTATTTTTTTAAAGATTAAGTTTTAAATTTAATACATTTGTGATTAATATTTTCATGCATGATTTGTAAAAGTGCATTGAGATATAACGCTGCATTGATTTATATTGTTATGTAAATGTTTTGTATGTTGCAATTTAAAAGGGTGTTCAAGGCTAAAAATGTGATATTAATTTATGTATTATGCTATTATAACAAGTGTGCTTGATTTAGTCATAAGCAAAACATGCTAACAGTTATGTAAGTCTTCACAATCCACAGGGACCTTGCATAAAATGATAAATACCACGCTATTAAATAATTAAAAACAACATATATTTTTTTTTAAGTCCCAATGCACCATTTTAAGCAACAGGAATCACTACAATAGCTACAATATTGTGAAAGATAAATCTCTAATAGGTTCAACACTGTTCAGTTTTCACAAAGATATGTTTAACTGAAATTTCACTAATCTATGCCTATGCATTATCTAGTGTTGGTATTTTGATTTTCTTTTCTTAATTATAGGTTCAATAATCAATCTGAGTGTGGATTAAGCTATAAAATATTACCGGTAGATATTTTAGTCATAAATAACAAAGTCACATCGTTACTTTATTTTCTTTTTTCCACCCAAAGTCCTGTTTTGGCACATACTTGTGAGACACTATGGTTTAATATTTTAATTTATAATATATAGGGACCAGCACCAGTGTTTCTATAGAGTAACATTTATCTTAGCAAGAGTTTATTTTTAATTGATCAATTTTGTTCAGGAATAGAGGCTGATCATGCAGTGACCCCAATGTATGCAGCTAAATCTGTAGTTTAACATTTTTCTGCAAGTCAATTGTTTTCTAGATAATTGTAAACTATATTACAATGACTATATATGATATGAAAATGTTCTTTTCATAAAGCCATATATACATGTATATAATAAATTAATATTTATATAGATTTTCTTTTTTGTTATAGTTTGTGCTTATCTTGCCTAATTCGACTACTATGTATATTTGTTAAAGGTAAGTATAAGTAGGATAGACAGTCAATATTGACTGCCAATATTAATCTTATATTGCCCAATCATACGTGTTATAAAGTTGCAACAATATTTCAATATGCATGTCAATATATACCGTTAGAAACATTATCTCTGTCGATCTCACCTTCAAGTTTATACATTAAATTTACCGGTATTTCTCCATTATCACTAACAAATATACATCCCCGTACAAATTGAATGTTTATCACGACGATAATTCCCGATTAACCCATGACCCGTTCATAACATGGGATTAGCGTCCATAACTCCCGGTCGTCACGTCACTTCCTATAATAGACTCGAATAGCAAGCCACTTGCGAAAACTAACGGGTTCTGTAAATGGAATTATCGAAAGGGCTAAAATAAATTCATTTACTTTGTAATTCAGTTTGTGTTTCTTTCACAAAATGAAAATCTAGCTTACAAATTTTAAATCTTATAACACTAAAGCTTTCTCTTCTATTATTAATGTAAAATTTGTTGAGAAAGCAAAGGATGGACATGATAAACAAGTCTAGCCAGTCTGTCGCAAAAAGCTTGACAACCCTTGAGCGTCATCACGTGACTACATTGTACATAAATGGACATAACACTTATACCATAGAAAATCAAACTGAATATTGTGTCTAATAATAATATGCTATATTTTGGGTGTGTTTTTTTTAAATCAAAATTCCCCTATTTCTGATTGTTGCTTTATCTTGTTATTATTTTCTTCCCATTATTCATTCTCTACTTAAACATGCATAATGCAAGAGCTAAATTTGCCTATTGTAGATCTTTCTTTAGGCCTTGAATATTATCTTAATTATTAATTAGACATAAATTAACTTATCAAGACCATAATCAACTCTCAATGCCATCGCTAGCCTGCGATATATAGTGGATTTGAATACATTTGTGATCGATGATTTAACGTAAAAATGGATAATCCAGACTTTGTTTATTATTGCACCAATGGTAGTAATGACAATCCAGGCTTGCCTTAAATTGAATTGCTAATATCTCGGTTCAGAGTGAAGCAATTTGAAGTTGACGTTAAATTTGATTTACAAACAAAAATACAAATATATTGGTGAAATAGTGATTTAATCTTCAAAAACAAGTTAAGACATTTGTTGTAGTGGGTGTGTTTGGTTATTTCCATGGTAACACTGCTATTAATTAAGACATTTTTAGATTATTAACGGATAAAAAATATACTGTACATAATTACACATCTATGTTTTATACCCTTATATAGATATTAAATATAGATATCATTTATTATTATTTGCTTTACATATATACACCAGCTTCTCATAATATACAAACAAATAATAGAACCAGCGACGTCAGCAGATAGCTGGGTGTTGACACCATTGGAGAATACAGAATGGCAGCAAACAAATTTTATCTACATTTAAATCCATTATTAACTAAAGACCCTTGGATGACTCTGAAAGACACAGTCATCTAAGTTTTATTAAAAACACCTTTTAAATCTATGACAAAAGGAAAGTGACTAATAAATCCTTGCCTCTCTACAATTCTGGCACATCTGATTATCATCTACATTCTTGGGTTTCAAATTAACACATATTTCAGGTTGTCCTTATTCTAAAAGACTATAATTCTATATAGACCTTAGACTTTGATACCGAAAATTTGGAGTAACTGGAATGTTGCTAACATCCTCATTCACATATTCCAGAGTGGTTTATTAGAGCTAATCTAAAACTCTGAAACATTGATTATGCCTAATCTGGTATATCGGTATATGAAAATACAAGTAATTTCCCGGAAAGACTAATAGGCCTATATCAGGTTACTAGTTATGATCATTCAGTCTATAATAATCATCACAGCAAATACAGCATGGTTATCTCCTCTATCGTGTGATTATAGAAAACCTGTTATATGGGTAATATCCAGGTTCTGATCACAACCTCAGTTTACGGCATATCATTACTATAAATAGACATGTAACTATCAAACACTGAGTTTGGAGACAGGACACCATTAATTCCTACACTGGTTACCCACAAATCTCTCCCTTTCCCTCCCTTGCGTAGAATCAAAGAAAAGGGTTTAAATCTACATATTCTACCATGTTGGATAAATATTCATGATATTAGGCGAAAGAATAAGAGGTTGTTTATGCCGAAATGTATCTTAAGATTTTCATGCTTTTAAGCAAAAGGTTGCCAAATATTGCTCTATCTGTGGTAGAAAGCATTCAACCACACAAAAATTTGGGAAAAGGTTAGAGCTGCCTAAAGTATTAACATTAGAGTCAATGGGGAAATTAATGGTGTTTAGTAACTCTCAGGAGACACATCAAGGGAGATAATTCATTAATGTCTACAGTGAATACTAATAGTGAAATTAATACAATAAAATAGTACTCATTGACTGCTCATCAAAGATACTTATACAATAACTCAAAACAACTAAACAAAAAATATAAACATACCGATACATACATATATAGATTTATAAAAACATCTATGAAGGCAGATTTATTGGTTTGAACAAGTACAGACTTTCAATTAACACAAACATTTTACTGATTCACTAAAAGTAAATTTTAAAAATATTAACAGTAGTTGATGAATATCTTGCCTATGCTTATCCCAAACATAAACCAATAGTTACTAGGATCAGCTCAATTCACTATGCCATTTGATTCTTCCATCTGTAGTAGTTTTTTGGGTTGTTTTTTTTTTAACAGAAACTGGATTGGAGCGGAAGAGAGAAATAGGGTTTAACGTCGACTCAACACATTTTGGGACTAACATTTTGTTCAATTTTATTTCAATCTTTCATTTGTGCATAGGGGTCTTTAACAGTGGGAGGAAACTGGAAGACCCAGAGAAAACCCACGAGGATGGACAGGCAACCTCCTGTCATGTTCAAGTGGGGAATCGAACAACGCCACTTGACTCAATGATAGACCTTGTGATTTCATGTGCATACATTACACTACAGGACCAACCAACCCTCCCGATTGGAGAACAGACAGAAGCCTATAGACCCCCTCTCCACACCACACACAATACAAAACAGACACATGATACGTCTACACCAATTTAACCGTTTGTTTTTCAGCACCCATTAAGATTTTGCTTCTTGTTTCTTGGTGTAAAAAAATAACAAGAAAAAGTTCTCAATGATTTTTGATCTACAGTTGTAAAGTACCTGATTGGTGTCATGCTGTGATAATGGTTAATGACCATCCGAAAAAGTCAAATGATCAGGCCAGAACCCAGTGCTATATCATACTTTCACTTCAACAATATATTAACAAAAATATGAAATTGTGTGAGTATTGAATTAACAAATCTTGGGCCTGCTCACAGCCATCACCCCGTCTTCATTAGCCCAGTCGGAGCAGAACAGTAGGACATTAAACCCCATTCCATTTCACACCCATCAAACATCAACGTACTGTTTACAGATACAATAATATTATAATTTATAACTAAATATTTCATTAATCTATAACAATATGGCTATAACTTCACTATAGGGTATGTTATACCAAAATAAATAGAGGATATTTGTCGTTTTGTCGTGAATAACATATTTTATTTCATCGAGAAGCAAGAAAACTTATATTTTCACGAATGCGTAGCATGAGTGAAAATATAAACGTTTTCTTGCTTAGAGATGAAATAAAATATGTTATTCACGACAAAACGACAAATGTTCTATTTACTTTATGATTTTACAATTATTTTAGGTAAAAACAGCATGGACTACTTTAGCCAGTGGAATAACACTTTTATTTCACTGATAAAACGCGGTATTCCACTACTGATCATAAAATAAAATAAAATATTTTTGAAAGCAGAAATATGAACAGCTACAGCACTGTCTCTCACCTACAATTTATTCAAAATAACATAAAATTGTATTTTTTTTCCCAGTCTCTGCACCTTTTTAATACATAAATATTTTTTTCTACGAGATTTTTTTTTTAGATCACATGTAATGTTGTCCGTGACATTATTCCATTGATTCATGAAAACAGTTTTAACTCAGTATTTAGCTTGAAATATTAACATTCAGATATATCTGACCATATATTTTGTTATTTTTATATGGCGTCTATTTTACTCATTGAAACTGTTTGAAATAAACAATTCTTTGGTCAATGTTTTATCCAATAATACCATACAGTGTACCGGACATGCCAGATTTCACTCGATTGAGAGTGTTTTATTTACATCCATCCATATATAATTCGATTAGGAGGCCAAGACAGAGGCTTGACATACACAGCAAAATAAATTGACTCAGACCCCCCTTAAAATATGGTGCTATATCAACGTGCGATGATTGTCTGAAAGTGTTACATATAAATGGAGGAAAGTACATGTAATATATACACGATGGAATTGAAATAAAAATAGCTAATATTTGTTCTGTTGTTTCTACGGCACACCAAATGACGCCACTAAATCTTCTTTATGTTGTACTTTTATATCTTTTATACACTTGGCCGCTTTCTCTGTCGCATTTATTATCTGAAATATAAAGCAATACATTTGGTACCAGACATTCAAGTCTACATTTCTATGAGCAAAAGGACTAAAATTACGTCACCTTTTTTTTTTGCCTACGAAGAACGGCACAAATCGCTAATGTTAAAATTTACCTGTGGCAGGTAACATTGACATCCGAGATCATTTCATACTTACATGTATGAAATGGATAAGTTGACATAATTACTTGCATTATTTAAACAATTTATGAAGCTTTTCAGGTGAGCTTTAAGTCGCTGATTACCATTTGCTGGATTTTATGGAATTAGAATCTCTAAAAGGAATATCAGTCGAAAAACGGTTCAGTTCCTTTCCGTGTGTACAAAAATATGATGAATTGAAAACTTCTCAACATCCCAGATTCACTATAGACGATATAAACAGGGTGTCATCAAAATGGCCCAAACCATTATCAAATATTAGAAAATATCACAGGATTCATAATAAATAACAAATATTTAATTGATCTTTTTATCCAAGCTATGGTCATTTTTACTGAAAGTTATGACCGTTTTGACCATATTTTGATTCGTTTTTTACTTTTAGCATGGTACTTACAAGTAGGATGTCTGCTGAGGATACAGGTGGCGCTGACAATACAGTATGTGCTGAAGTGACACCTGGTGGTAGGTTTACGTGATATGCCTGCTGTCTTCCAGAATTAGTTATCACCATATTCAATCGATTACTGGAATATACAAGTCAATAGAAGGTGTGATAAATGGAAAATCATTCCAATATTGACTATGAGTGTGTAGTGTATATAAAATAACCACACTGATGAAAAACTGGCTGGATTTCAGAACACATCTGCCCAAAAAGTAATTACGAGCAGCTGCATTATTTTAGAAAACTCAAACAAATTAGGATGTACTCTTGCTTAACATTACATCTAAATTAACTTTAAAATTCTGGAAGTTTCTTTACTAGATTTTTCTCTTGATATTTTTTCTTGTTTTGGTCAGATGAAAAATATACCACTGATATTTTTTTAAGATGCTGGCTCACTAGCCTGGAGGTTGTGTGTTCAATCCCTGCAATGGCTGAGAAAGTTCAATGGGATTTTCCAATGTAATTTCCCCATGTTAGTGGTGCAGGAATGAGGGCCTGACAAGGACAGCTGTCTAGTCATTTGGATGGGACAAAAATCATGGTCCTGTGCATACATTGGTGTGCACGTGCTGCTACCAGGGCAAAATTTCCCTCATAGCACACTGCATGGCGTATACCCGTCTTCATTAGCCAAGTCAGAGCAGAGCAGTAGGACGTTAAATCCAATTTCATTTCATTTCTATTTTTAAAGGAATGTTAATGTTTTTTTATATGTATTTTTTCATTTGGTTCAAACCATTAATTAGTTACTATTTATATGTATAGTACCACAAATGAACCTCAATTTTACTTTTATATCTAATACAGCCCTTGCATCTTAACATACAAACCAGTTGATTTAGCCCTTTGATTTTCAGGGGTGATATATGGTTTATATTCTCTGATATTTTCAACTGTCAATTCTTACTGATTAATGACAAGAATGTACATGTTATAAATATTTATACACACCTATATTGTCTCTGTCTATCGTGATATTCACTCTGTTGTAATATCTGTGAATCAGCTGTTACATCTATCACCTCCCTTTAAAAACATACAAACATAAATATCATCAAATAAAATACATATCAAATACATACAAACATATATATGATCAAATAAAATAAATATCAAATACATACAAACATATATATATATATGATCAAATAAAATAAATATCAAATACATACAAACATATATATGATCAAATAAAATAAATATCAAATACATACAAACATATATATGATCAAATAAAATAAATATCAAATACATACAAACATATATATCATCAAATAAAATAAATATCAGAGACATACAAACATATATATCATCAAATATAAACATATCGAACAGAATGAAAACCATCCAGAAAATATAAACTAAGATTTGATTTAACAACATGTTACATATTAAATAACTATTTCCATATCTTGGTTAACTATGGTTTTATACTAGTATTTACATGGATCATGGCATGTGATTACTTTCTAGTAGTCAATATTGTCCCTTTCTTAAAAACATTTTCAAATAACTAGGATTAAAGAATGAATAAATATTCTGAAGAATAATGTCAAGTGAAATTAAATAATATAAAATGAAATGTAGTGGATTTTGCCCACATAGATACATAGAATTCCAACTTTAAAGGGTTCTTTTACCCAGATGCCAACGTGTACCCTGGACCTCTGCCAGATCCTCCGTCATGTACCACTGACCAGGGGGAACCAGGTTTGAAATATTTAGGGGAATTTGCTTGGTCAACACCCAAGATCGAACCCAGTATGTCAAGGTTAATAAGTTACAAGCACCTACTCAGTGAAACACTGTGGCTCTCCAATCTAATAGTACCGTAAAGTTAATTATTACTTCTTACCGTGCATTTTTATGTAGGATTCTATTTAACGCTGATTGTTCATCACCTTTTGGAGGTTGCTGATACGTCGAGTTACTTCTATCCCTGAAATAGTAAAAGAAAGACAGTTCAGTCAAATGTCAAGGTCCCAGATTTTGCTTCTAACAATTACAAGAGTAGGCTACTAGATTAATCAGGAACTGACCATAACATCATCGCAACCATCTTGAAATTGTGCCAATCAATGCGCAATTGTTGAAAAAACAAGCAAGCCAAATTTCATGTCGATCAAACTCCAATTGATAGAGTCTTAGGCTATTTCAGAAGTGAGTCGATACAAGAACAAGAAAAAGAAGATGATTGCCAAGTGTATGGAATCAGTTCCTGGTTTAAAAACCTCCTACATGTACATGTACCTGCTGGTTTGATTGCAAAATTCATCAATATGTTTACACTAATTGATTCAATTGTATTTTAGTGTAAAATAAACATTAATAGTTAGTAGCGTTCCTTTGACTTGAAAAACCAGTTATTTTTGTGTCTCAAAATTTACATTTATGGTGATATCAGATTTGCCAACCACAGTGATAAAAAGATAGATTTCACCTACACGAATCCCTGTGAAGGTTTCCTGGTAGATTAAAATTGTTATAAAGACAATGCATGATGACAATCATGTAAGGGACAAACATGTAACAATAATTATCTCCATATACACTGTAGTTATTTATAGCTGGACTAGTATACTAGACATTTTAATTTATTTGGCTTGCTGTATACATGTAGTTTACATGGCTTGTATACAATGTACATATGTAGGACATCTAACTTGGTGTCAAACATATGCTGTCACTTAATAATAATAATAACATCGTCATTTATAAAGGAAGTTAATACATAAAAACAGTTTCTAAGGCAATTTTGGTTGTTATATTCAATAATTATATTCACTGTTATATTACAATTACACTTAAACCTGTTAAAACTCTCAGTGAATTCATCTAAAATAGGTATTCTTAAGAACCTAGTATGTCTTTTATGTTGAACCAGCAGCTAATACTGAATGCACTCATTTTTAAAATCGCTCGAAAAAAATCGCCTGCGTACCCATACACTGTCACAACGATTCTGATCGATGAACCATTTGTTCCACCGATCGGCCATATCTACCATACTAGATATTTTCGGCCGAATATTTTACGCCGGTTCACTTCACCGGCATATGCACTTGTCTTCCCATATTAACGTGTTTAGTCGAGCGAACTTCAGATACATCATTGATATCACATGATCTCAAAATAGCTGCCTCCACTTCCGAAGTGTAGTCTGACGAAATTTAATATTTGTTTATTTTTTGCAATTATTGCAATGTCTATTTTCTGTCTTGTCCTCAGTTTTACCTTGTAGATTTTTGTTTTGTGTGTAGTGCGGTCCTCCTGCACTTACTATTTGGTCAGAAATGTCTTGACTGTTTGACGTCGCAATACAAGAGTGTTAGGAGCAAATGAATAGCAGCTACCACAGCAATCTAACATTTTACAGCAATTTGCCATTTTGTACAAGTCACGTTATCCATGTAATTTACTCAGTGGCGGACGCTCTCGAGACGATCACTACATGTGCCCGTTCATGTAGGCTGGCAAATTTCAAACACCGCAATCAAGTGAAAAAATACCCTCATCTGCCAATATCTTTAATTATCCAAACAGTTATGAACCAGACAAATCATAATAATCTCAGAATCATCAGATCATAATTAAAGCCTTTAAGGCACTACCAAGATTTTAGTAAATAAAGAGGAATAAGTACATGTATGGAAGTTACAAATATCATTGAAAATCGTATTATTTTTTTTCTTTCAACAGAACAGTTAACCAATATAAATTTCAGAAAGATTAGTCAGTAAGTAAGTGCAAATTCAGTAATTTATCTGAACAGTTAATAGTGGAATAACCTATTTAAGCAAGCTTGTACAATTTATGTGAAACCCCACTCATTTGCATTTGCACACAAAAACCCAAATTAATCAAGATCAGATAACGAGCTGACAGTTCTCGCTATAATATTTAGAAAATGGATAATGAAAAGGTAATATTATGTTGAAAATTCCAGTCAATTACATCACTCTGAACCTCCCTATTGTTGTTAGAAGAATAGTGTAGCCTTGAATGGCATTGCTATGATAATAAACAAAGTCTTGTTTATCCATTTTTACGGTAACCTCAACTAACACAAAATGTATTCAAATCTATTGATAATCTAGACTATACAATGGCATCGAGAGTTGATTATGGTCTTGGTAAGTTAATTAATGTCTAATTAATAATTTATATAACATTTAAGACCTAAAGAAAAACCTCCAATGGGAAGATTTAGCTCTTACTTTTACATAACGTATATTTACTTTATATCTCTCACCAGTTCATTAATTGTATTCTTATCCATATCATTGTCTTAAGTAAATAACAACAAACAATATATATCATTGTCTGGATAAATAACAACAATCAAAGTAATTAGACTATCACAGAGACTTGTACTTACTACTTAGTGCAGTGTAATGTTAAGTGATCATAAACCTACATTGATAGTAAGTAACAAACCTTATAAAAACAACATTTTTATTTCAAAGGATAAGGACTTTTTCTTATCATTATTATCATTATACTATAAAACACCTGTATATATCTCTCTATTATTAGAAAAACGAGCAAGAAATCCAATACAACTATTAAAGAATGGTTTGACTTTATAAACCATGTTTGCTTAAATTTTGGTATTGTTATCAAAATCTCTTGTATTACTGACATTGTTAACTACTAGTAGGATACCTACCTGTAGCTTCGCCCGGGGCCCAAATTCACCAGGGCCAAATTCATACAGAGCCCAATTTTCCCCTGGCCCCAAATTCATCTGGGGTCCAATTCACCCAAGACACAAATTCGCCAGGTGCCAAAAATCACCCGGGGCCCAAATTCGATAGCCTAAAACATTCACAGGGTCATACTGGTTAATTTAGTACCACATATGTAGAGCTGGAGAGCGGCGAAGAAGCGTTATGCACCCGTGACCCAGGTCCAGATCGCCTAGGGCCCAAATTTGATGACCTAATATATTCACGGGGTCATGCTGGTTAAATTGATACCACAAATGTGGGGGTGAAGTGCGGTAACGAAATGTGATGGGTGAACATACCCCCCCCCCTCATACATGTACATGTACACAGTTTGATTTTATTTACATAGAATATAATCTCTATTAAATAAATTATGCTAAAACGCCCCTCAGAACTTAAACACCAGAAATTAATAATATTGACAGCTCTCTGGTTCAAAAGCTACAGTTTGACAATAGCAATTAACTATATGTATACATGCAGGTTGAAATGTCCAGGGATACTTACTGATTTATAGCTTGTTGATTACTAACTGATGGATCTATTAAAGGTGTTCTTTCATTAGGATTAACAGGCTGAAAATATACATCAAAACTATTTACTTTAACTTTCAGACAACAAACAACTTTCTAATAATAGACCTACAAATACTCAGCTGAACATTTAGACGTAGGCCTACATATAATTCAGAGGCTTTAGTTTTAACTAGCCACAGGGATCTAACTAACTAACTAAAGGGGTCTGGCATATATCAATGGAAAGGTCAATAAATACATTTTAATAAATAACATATTTATGTATATCTAATGATTTTGGCGGAGGTTTTCGATTAAGTATCTTGAGCCATTTCCTGGCATGTAGCTCTTCACAATCATAATATATAGACTTAAAGGAGCTAAATCGCTAATATTGTGGACCTAGAAATTGGCACAAATGAGTCGCAACACATATAATAATCTAATATGAATTTATATAAACTGTTTTACATTCAATCGTGTCCGTTTTACTGTGAATTGTCATCAGTTATGTTCGGCGAAATACGCCAAAAGTCTCAACCGCAAGTCAGTTTCTAGCATCTGGTTATTCCTGTCAACACCGATATTATTTATTGCGCATGCTCTCCAAATAAGAATATGATATCACCGTTTGACATGACTTGTGGAACATGTCTAGCCTCATTCTTTGAGCACCTTGTTACAAATGGCGCTGAAACGCATTATGGTACACGATTCGTGTACCAATGGTAAAATGTTTATTTTGTCTTAAATATTGGATATCAAGCCCATCTTTTCCAGGTAAGATGACAACACCAATGCTGATTTAAATTGCAAAAGAATTCGTGTTTTCAATGTCGAAGATTTTGGATGATATTGAGTTACGGACTTAGTTACTTTAAATAGTACAAGAATTGTAAATCTATTGATAAATACATGTTTGTGAATTTACAGATTACAGAGCGATGACATAAATTTCTGTGACATAAACTAACTCAAACCAAATCTCAACCATTAAACCACACACAGAAATAGAAAAATGCCACGGATAATAAACATCCTGCCTTTTTTAGTCACTTTTAGATAATGGCAGTCAGTTTTCACACTATCATTAGCATTAAATTTACCCATCACTGCCATCAGTCATTCTAGAATTTTGCCAGCTGAGCAAGTGGGCTGGCATATCAAACTACAAGTAACATGCTTCTTTAAAATCTAGTGCAATTTGTCAGAAAGTATGAGTAGAGAGAGAATGACCTCATCACAGCCTACTCGGCAGTGATAATCGTTGACATTATTTTGCTAAACAAAGTCATTTTAGTTAAAATAATATAATTAACCCTTGTCCAGATGTCCAAAATTTAAACGACACCATTCAAAAGATCATATTTTCATTAATTGACGACAATAAAATGTCTGCAAACCAACCCCGTAATCAGGCTCTTCTTCTTCGCTAAAACAGCATCCCATTTTGATAATTTACAAAGTTCAGATTGGTCTGCTATAAAGTTTACTCACATGACTTCCACTGCCAATCACGATAACTCTCGCAGGTGATTGGTCAAAAGTAGTTTGGTAAATTATAAATCATGCAATATAACATATTTCTAAAAATTATTAACATATGACCTATGTACAATATTCAACAAAGTTACCGTTAATTGCTAATTTAAGCACATTGTCGTTTACTTAGTCAAAAATCTAACATTTTTTCTGCAGCAAACAAGATGTCTGCGCCCATGAAAAATGTCGGCAGAGGGTTAATTCGAAGATTTATGAGTTTTAGGCGATGTTCTGTGCTGAAACCTGGTTTGACATATGCTCGTTACTCAACGATAAAGTCATCTGTGTCAGATATCTTAAAAGCATCCATTGAAAACCTAGAAAAGCCAACAATTACGCAGGTACAAAGAAAATATTGATTATTGTCGTGATCGTCCAGCCACATTGTCGAATGGCTTGATAATGGATGACGACGCCAACGTCGCCTACTACTTGTTAATTCATGGATCGGAAGGTCCATGCTTTATGTAATTGCTACATGTACTTGACATTCTTTCAGTATGAGCTGAATTGATTTAAAGGAGCTAAGTCCCTATTCTCTGGCACTTAGTTAGAAATGGACACAATTAAATGGGTCACAACACATAATAATGTAATATGAATGTATATAAAATAAACTGATTTACATTCGAAGGTTTCCGTTTTTACTGTAATTTCTAATCAGTTGTTTGGCTAAATATGCGAGGAGTTCAAATTGAATGGTAGTCTTTGGCGTCTGGTTATTTTAGTCCACACCAATCATATTCCCTCGTGTGAATTGTTTAGCCTCATTGAGTCATTCATCGAGTCGCTTCATTACAAATGGTGCTCAAAAGCATTCTGGGACGCGATTTGTGTGCCAGTTTTAAAATTTTTACTGTGGATGATATTGAGTGAAAGACATTGCCCCCTTTAAAAAATAAAAATGAATAAAAATAAAATGATTGTTGGATTTGCAAAATATCTATCGATGATTCTGTTTTATGAAGCCTTTAAATATTACTAAAGTGAGGACTCCTATGTATTATTATGTCATATATTTCTATATTAATCCATATTTTGTGTTATATTGCAGGGTTGGGTAAAATCTATCCGAAATTACAAGGAAATAATATTTCTACATATAACTGATGGTACAACATATGAACCACTACAGATTGTAATTGACAGAAATAAGATAAATGACATGTAATTGAAAATAATTAGCTTTTAACATTATTTAGTTTAAAGTGGCTGGCCCTCTTTTGATTTGGATCAAAAGTAAAAATCATCATTTTTATTGGATGTTAATTTGAGGAGTGACAATCTGTCTCTGTTGAAAGTTTTACATCTATAAAGCCAATTTGAGATATAACCAATAATGTTTTTTGATGTTGACACAGAATAACAAAAATTTGGCTAAAATTAGTAAACAAAGCAGCTTCTGCTTAAACATACATTATGCGAGAGCTAATTCTGCCAATTGCAGGTCTTTCTTTATTCCTGAAATGTTATCTAAATTATTACTTAGACATTAACTTATCCAGACCAAGTCAACTCTCAATGGCTTAGAACCCGATTTGCTGCTTCTGATTAAATCAAAAAATGGATAATCAAGACTTTTTTTTTATCATACTGACTTTGGTATAATGATGATCGAGGCTAGGCTCAAAATTCAGTCGCTAAATACTCGGTTCAGAGTGGATCAATTTGACTGAAATTTTCAGCAAATTCCCTTTACATTATCTAGTTTTTAACTATTATAGTGAGAACTACCAGCTCTTTATCTAATCTCCCATAATGTATCTTTAATCTTTCAAAACAAAAAATTGATTGTATAAAGCTGGTCCCATCACATCAAAATAGTACATCATATCAACCCAATTTAATACTTTACTTTGAACTGATCAGATTTTTTATAAATTGTTAAGATGTTAAATTCTAGCAAGCTTTAACAGTACATTTCATTTTTGTTTCTTGTAGCGATGTTACCTATGGCTGTTGTGTCAGTGTCAAGGGCCAAGCTGTCAAAAGTCAGGGCAAAAATCAAAATGTGGAATTTTTAGCAGAGTCCATGGATGTCATAGGACCATGTGACCCAATAGTAAGTTTAAAAGAAACATTCCCACTTAATTTTCAGATGAAACAATTAGTTATTGAGATATTATTGAGTCAGCAGGAAATGCAAGAATAAAAAATAATGAACAGAATACATCTTCAAAATTAACCGAAATCTAAGTCCACATTAAAAAATTTAAGTCTACTCTAGGTGCAGGACCATTGAAACATAGAACAGTCAAGATTAGGGATCAATAGTTACTATACTATCTTGGTCTAATATCTAAGGTAGAATTATAGGGTTTTGCATGCATTCAACCAGACCTTGTTGTAAGCAACCCCCCCCCCCCACCTTTCATAATATACATACAGGTGTATTGTATATTGTTTAAATAGTTTCTTTGTCGTATTGATTTTATTCCATTTGTCTATTTCAAATTATTATTTCTGTTTTATTGTTCAATTTAAGACATATTAAATGTTTTTGTTTCTTTAGGAATTTCCATTTAAACAACGAAAACATCATACATTAGAATATGAAAGGGGTTTTCCCCATCTACGAGCTAAAACCAAGTCTCACAGTTCACTCTTACGTGTACGAAATCAAGCAACAATGGCTATACATAAATATTTCCAGGTAAAAACATATTCATACTTATCTTTGTGAAAAATATATTTTGATTGGAGCTAATGATTATTTAGTTCAAACTTATATACTTCTACTGTTAAATTATTACACTTAGATACTAATAAAAAAACTTATTCCAGAAAGTTTTTAAAATGTGCTAAAAACTTATAAATACCCCTTGTTGTTCTGCCCCTTCCTACATTAAAGATGCTTTATGTAAGATTTAGATAAAAATTGATTGTTCTTGCGATCTAATTGTTCAAAAATAGATAATGAAGAAAGAATATATTGATAATTTAATTCAAATTACTTTATTCTTGGCGAAGTTATGACTGTTTGAAGATGTAATGTAGACCATTTATTATTGTAGCAACAGTACATGACAACAGAGACTAAGTGTCAATTATCCATTTTATCATTAAATTCTAAAATCATGTTGGTGTTCAAATCTGTTAAATTTGAGCCATCAGTTTTAAGAGTGCATTATAGGCTTGAAATGTAAATAAATGTCTAAATGAAAATTTATGTAAGATTGGAAGCCAAAATAAAGACCTGCAATAGGCAGATTTAGCTCTTACATAATGTATCTTTAAACATGATAATTTGTTATTTTATAGGAGAATGGTTATTGTTTTATACATACACCTATCTTAACAACTAATGATTGTGAAGGAGCAGGAGAAACATTTCAAATTGAGGTAACTACAGTTAAATGTTATTTTATTCATAAAAAGTCATGCCTGAATGTCACAATATTTTAGAAAGAAGACTTGATTTTATTCATAAAAAGTCATGCTTGAATGTCACAATATTTTAGAAAGAAGACTTTATAGAATAATCCATGAATATCCAATTTAGCAGAAGGGAGGATTTTACACTATCTCCCCAATCACCACTACAGCTGAAGCTCATCATGAGGTACACACCGATCATTGATTATGTCATAAGTCATGATTCTACACATATGGTACTCTACTGAACAGCATATATGATAATCATACAAAAGCCTTTGAACAGAAGCAGGACAACTACCAGCGAGGACAACTGCCTGGAAGGAGAACTGCATGCAAGGAGAACTGCAGTTTTGAATCATCTTCACTGGTAACCTATTGATAAGAGAAAAGTTTCAAAATTGTTCTATAATTTTATAAATACCTTTCAAACAATTGTTCTGGTCCTGCTTACCAGATCTAGTTTAACCCAAACTGCCACTGTGTGTTACAAGATCTTCTAATAATCTTCTATTAGAGATACTACAGACAAGCTATGTTTCTCTTCTGCTCTTGTTCTCAGGAATAAAGTACCAGTGCCAGTCAAAGAAGCTGTTATTGGTACTGACAGAACTGGATTCCATGTCATCAGATTGTCATTCTATCAAATATGAAGATTTCTGGCTTGGGTACCTTTTATTTAGCAATGATTTGATTAGTTTCTATATCACAGTTGCATTAAGTTTATTTATCAAATGTTGCTCTCTTTTCAGCCAGTGAAAGATTTAGCTGATGGAAAAGAAAATGCAGATGGAGAGACATATAAGAATTTTTTTGGTGAACCAACATTTCTAACTGTATCTGGTCAACTCCATCTAGAAGTTATAACAGGGTTTGTATGTAGTTCTTGGTTGATTTGGTGGGACTGTCTTTCTACATGTAACTATGTAGTTCTTGGTTAATTTGGTGGGACTGTCATAATAACTATATAGAATCACACAGATCAGTAGTGAATATTCGGTAGGCCGCTACAATCACTGATAAGGATGACATCGATGCAACTTAATGAGCCCCAAATGTTAACTTTTTTCCTCCGACAAATTAAATTCTAAAACATTTTTTTTATGTATTATAAAAATAAATAAAGATGTTTGATGTATTTGTAGGTAAAAATTTATTTCCTATTTAGTGTAAATGGGTATTAAAATGAGTAAAAGGCACCATTCTGCCCAAATCAGTCACATCTTATGTAAACAATGCATGCGGTATTGAGCCAATGATTGACGCCGCGTTATGTGACGTCATGTGTTGACGGCAGTCATCTTTTACAGAGATATTAGAAGACTTTCATAATTCTCTGTGAAACAGATTGATGTAGTATGTGTAGAATCAGCAAGTCTGTTGTAATCAAAATATTAAGAATTAATTTTTTGACGAGCAGATAGCCAGGCCTGTTATAATGATACTGTTAAACATTTTGTTAAAGTACCTCTTTTTATACGCCAACATTTTCTTGCGAATGCTTTAACACCAAAAGTTATCATCCGATTGTTTTAAAATTGATATATGTTGTTGACATTAGTGAGATGAAGAATCCTATGTAATTTCAATAGTTTCCATTTATTAAGTCTAGAGTTATGGCCCTTGTTTCACTTTGTTGGACCTTGTTGTTGACTGTGAGCCATGGTGACATGATTTCCTGGGTTCATTCCTGGTGTCAGTCAGGAAAGTTCTTCAAAATTTTTCAGTGTGGTTTACCCTTGTCAGTGGTGCAGTACAGATGGTATCACAAGTACAAGAGTCTTTTTCTTTGGATGGGATGGGATTTTCCAGCCTGGTTCCCCTTGTCAGTGGTGTAGGATGGAGGGCATGGCAAGGGACAACTTATAATCATTTGGATGGCTCGAAAAACCGAGGTTCCGTGTACCCATGAACCCTTGACAGTTCGAATTAACTAATCTATTTATAAACACAATATGTGTTTTGATGTAAGCCAGTCAGGAGCTAGGATGATGAAGATTTAGACAAGGACCTAGTAATTATATATTAAAATAACTATACTTTTATATTTATTTCAGGGCATTTCAAAAAGTTTATAATTTTGGGCCCACATTTCGAGCTGATCGATCTAAAACTCGTCATCATTTATCTGAATTTTACATGGTAGAAGCTGAGCTTAGTTTCCTTGACAACCTGGATGAATTAATGAATGTGAGTACAGATGTCAAACAAAAATTAACAAAGGCTGAATTTTTGGACCAAAAACTGCACCCCTAGCACTACTTATCTCGTACTTCTTCTTGAGGGTGACACTCTTCTAAAAAAAGCCTAAGGCTCCACCAATTCAGGAAGTATAATCGACATGAAACTTGGCATGCTTGTTCCTTGCTCAATTGCATATTGATTGACAGAGCCACAGTGGCTGAATGAGTGAGATGTTGGCTCAGTAACCTGAAGGTCCCATGTTCGATCCCTGCGTTGGTCGAGAAAGTTCATTGGGATTTGCCGGCGTGGTTCCACCTTGTTAGTGGTGCAGAACAGAGGGCCTGCCAAGGGACATCATATAGTCGTTAGGATGGGACGAAAAAACAAGGTCCTGTGTAGACATTGGCATGCATGTAAAATAACTTGGAATTTACCTCGTAGCATATGGCATATGTCTGAGTTCATTAGCCCAGTCGGTGCAGAAAAGTAGGACATTAAAACCCATTTCATTCATTTTGATATGATGTCACAATTAATTCCCTGATGGCAGCAATGATGTCATCCTCTGTTACTATCGTACCTGCTGTACACTTGAGTTTAATTTGCATGTGGTTCTGATCAATATTGCTATTGATGAGGAGCTACTGTGGCACGGTGAATATGGTGATTGCTCACTAACCAGGAGGTCTCGAGTTCAATCAGGGTGTTGGCTGAGAAAATCCCTTAGAATATTGCAGCCAGGTTTCTCTTTGTCAGTCATTCAGGACCGAGAATCTGGCATGGAAAAAGCATTGAGGTGTTTGGATGTGATAAAATAGCATCTAGTTGTTAGATGGGATGAGAAACTGAGGTCTCTTATGTACCATTGACCGCATGTTAAAGATCCCTTGACAGTTGGACTTCAAAATAAAAGTAGGCTGTAGTGCTGCTAGATTATGAAAGTGCAGATATGAACCACAGGCATATTTATACACCCACATATTCATAATTTCTAGATTTATACGCCTTTTTAACCCATTTATGGACCACAATATCAAAAATGTCTGATTAGAAAAGACAAAAACACTAAGTTTATTTGAAAGTAGTCAGAGAAGCACACGGTATAGACAGAACTCCTGCGCAATTTCCTAGGTTTTCACCAGAAAAGGCAAAAAAAAAACCCTTTAATTTTCATACCCAACCCAATCCCTTTTTGAAGAAACCTGTATCCACCCCTGATTACATCTTATTAAATGCACCTGTTCTCCTACAACAGGTAATGGAAGATTTAGTGAAGACAGTAACAAGATATATAACGCAACATTCAGAAGAAGATATCAATTATTTACAAGATAAAAAACATCAGGTAGGATATTATTTTAACCATGTATAGAACAGGATCTTCAAATTCTTCAGTAGATATCAATATTTGCAGTAAGTATTATAACTACGAGATTGCTTGTGTTGATCATCAGAAAGTAACAGAAAGCCATAAACTGAAACAATATGATAGCAGATAGGAGTTTATGATAAAGATGATGTTAGATGTATTAAAATATGATCCTTTAGTGACATTTAGCCATTGAGCTTGTTAAACCAACAAATAGCTTTACATGGAATTCAATTACTGGTTATTTTACTATGGTGCAACGTTTTGTTTATGTTAACTACAATCACTGGTTTATTATTTATATGGCACGATGTTTCAAGATGTTTTCTCTTATTGATTTTAAAGATGCCTTCCTGTGTACAAACTGGGTGATTTGATGATATATTTGGGCTAAAAACATATTTAAACTAATTAATCTGTCAAATATCCCACTCAAAACATTGTACAGTGTATTCGCAAGGAAATACCCCAAGATATAAAAAATATATATTTAGAAGCCATGTTTTTCACGTACCTTGGTTGAGGGAGGGCCCATTTTCAGAATGTATTTGTTGTTACTTACTGTCCATTTGCCATACATATTATTGATGCCTAAGTAAAATTGCAGAGTCTTTTGTACATTTAAACCCCTCAATGTTACCCAATCCACCTAACCATTCGATCAAGAAATAACAAGCACTCCCAAAGTCAAGCTGGTAGACAGTAAGCTGTTGGGTTACGAGTTAGTGATACCCTGACATTTTTGCCTGGTACTTGCCTCATGGATGTTTTTCAGAGCATCCGGTATTTTTCTAGTAAGATTGAGCGTCTCTACTTTCCATTTATACCAAATTGCCATACTTTTATTGGAAATGACTACCCTACAAATATTTTCATGAAAATGTATTTTTAAGCACAAGTGATTTTAAACTAATATACAATGTTATACAATTTGTTACTATACAAGAGAAAATATGTATAATAAATCAGTGATTGCATTCCATATAATGGTGTCTTTTTGTTTGTAATATATTATGTTTAAAATCTCAGCATTGGTCTAACTTGCTTTATTTTCAGGCAATAATAGAAAAGATGTTAAATTGTGATTTTGAAAGAATTTCTTATACCGAAGCTATCAAAATTCTGCTGAACGATACTGACCAATTCACAGCCAAATTAAAGGTACTGTGCACTTTCCGCATAGGAACATTATTAGTTAGTTATTGTTAATTCATAAGAACTGCAATTGGCTGCGTGGAGATTGTAAAGGGACATTACTCTAAAATCTATTTTTTGTTGCAATGCTCCAGATCACAATGTAAAGATAAATAAAACAAAATTTAAGCTCTAATAAAAAACGGAACAAAACTGGGATCTGTGTTGCAGCCAGATTGTAAAGTTTATAGACAGAATGAATCTATTTATATTTTCCAGTGGGGCGATGATCTTTCAAAAGAACATGAAAAGTTTTTAACAAAAGAAGTAGAAAAACCAGTTTTTATCACCGATTTCCCGGCTGTGTTAAAACCTTTTTATGCTAGACGGAATGAGGATGATAATACAGTAAGTAATCATTTCAAACACAGATGGAGAAGATAAATTACCTCTCGATTGGACTACTGTCATTTACTACTGTCCAGTAGAAATGAAATGAAATAGGGTTTAATATCTTACTGTTCTGCTCTGACTGGGCTAATGAAGATGGGCATATGCCAGGCTGTGTGTTATAAGGGAAATTTTGCGAAGACAATGGCACTATGGTCTACCTTTATATCGAATTCCAACTGTCACAGGATCTTTTACGTGCACTCCAATGTGTACACAGGACCTCAGTTTTTTGTACAATCTGAATAACTAGACAAATGTCCTTGTCAGGCCCTCCATTCTGCACCACTGACAAGGGAAATCACCCTGAAAAATCCTGCACTGGGAGCGAACCTGCAACCTCCATGCTAGCGAGCCAGCATCTTACTCACTTTAACTCTTAAGTTCCCAGAGGAAAACTGATTTTCAAAACTGCCGAAACTGCTGCAATTTTGGAAGATCCAGGGCTAACAGGTTAATGGAAATACTGCAAATTTTTCAAAAGATTATTTATTTCTTGATTTTAATTTGAATGACTTTCAAGTGGATTTAAATAAAATAGACTTTCGTGCTTTATTTGAAATGACATTTGAGTATGAATTTACTTTGTAGGTGGCAGCTGTGGATCTGTTAGTACCAGAAGTAGGAGAGTTGATTGGTGGAAGTGTAAGGGAAGAGAGGTTAAAGGTCATGGAAGATAAACTCCAATCTTTAAATCTATTGGATACTTACCAATGGTAATTCAGGATGAAGTGTTGTACACTTATTTTATTACAATATTTTCAATTCAGATGTGTATGGTTTTGTTTTTCTGTATTGCAAAGATATGTTGTAAGAAGCTCTTCTCAGACAATTCACTTCTTGAAGTTTGTCTGAGGGACTAACTCTAATTGTAAGTGCAGGAGGACCGCACTACATGCAAAACAAAAATCTACAAGATAAACCTGCAGAAAAAACAGAAAATAGACATTGCACCAAATAAACAAATATCAAATTAAGTGAATGGATTCGGGGGCAAAAAACAAAGATCCTTGTATTATCTGGTAGCAGACAACTCATTGCAGAAAAAATGTGTTACAATCATTTAATGTTATATCCATCTAATGTCTGTTAATTCATCCAGTACAGATTTGTCTTTTTATCAGTGTTTTGAACATTTTAATGCATATCAGGTAAAAAGTTAAAGATGATCATTAGTGCCTTACATTTTGTTTGCCTGTCCCCATTGATGTACATTTTGTATCTGGCTGTCATAGCAAACTGCAACCAGTAAATTACTTTTCGGTAAAAATGTTAGTAACAGACAGAGGATTTCTGACAATTTGCTTGTTTTAAGGTGATCACCATATAACACAAATCTCTATCTTTCCATATAAAATACTAAATCCTAATTTTGTGAGGTTTTGTGTGAGATTTTGTATGAGGTTTTTGTGTGAGGTTTTGTAAGAGCAGTGAGGTTTTGTAAGAGCAGTGAGGTTTAATTTCACTTTATAAAATGTGAACGCTCCCAGTTTTGGTGTTTTTCCAACATTCCAATTTGTTTCAAGAATGACTTCAGTGTTCTATTTTATATAAAATTCTCATCTTGTTTTGTTTGATTATTTCCAGGTATTTAGATTTACGACGATATGGTACATCACCACATGGTGGATTTGGTTTAGGATTTGAGAGATATTTACAATTTTTATTAGGAATATCCAATATAAAAGACATTATACCTTTCCCTAGATCAATCGGCAACTGTAAATTATAGATTAAAATATTTAATATCTTTTAGTTATTGTACGTTGCATTAACAGACAAAGGGGTGTGCAACTCCTGAAAACAGAGGTTAAAGTTGCCATAATACCTGTGTATACCTGGCTTGCACGTAAAAGAACCCTTGACAGTGAATTTGATGAAGTGGCTGCGGAAATGTTGCTGTCCAGATGAAATTATCTTCCCTTGTGTTGATCTCAAAATGCTTGAAGTATTGTGTTAACAAGACATTAAACTCTATTCCTTTCCACTGTGGCACACTAACTAGAAGATCCCTCTGTCAATATTTCCCTCATGGTGCACATAAAAGATCCCTTGGTATTTTGAATTTTGTATTAGAGTAGGTCCTAGTGCCGCTGTCTGGGCAAAATTTCCCTCATGGCACACTATATGGAGTAAGCCTATCTTCATTAGCCCATTCGGTGCTGAAAAGTAGGATGTTAAACCCCATTTCATTTTAAAGGGGGAAATGATATAAACACCATGTCAATAAATGATTTTAGTTGTTTGACTCCTTCATATTTAATTGAACAGAACCTCATTAACTTAATTAACAGTAAAATGTGGAAATGGATAGGCTATGTCTGAGGTTTTATGATAATGTCTTAATTTAAACACATACACTGATGAAATTGACACCAATCAATCATAATGATTAAAGGAAATCAAACACTTCAAAGTTGTTCTGATTTTTATTTCTCTAATATCGTTTTAAACATTTCATTCTAACCCCGGCGGCTCTTGAATCTTCCTAAGTAGCAAAATAGCCATCTAGTGGCTGGTAAGGAATTCAGTTCCGTCACAGTTGTCAGGGAACATTGTCTATTCATTCGGATGGGATAAAAAAAAACCGACTTGCCCTACCTCTGGCAGTTGGGATTTGGATGAAAAGTAGGCAGACATGCCACTGTCTGGGAAAAAATTCCCTCAAAGCACACTGCATGGCGTAGGCTCTCTTCATTAGCTTGGTTGGTGCAGAATTGTAGGACAAAATGTTAAACTGCATTTAATTTTCAATACTGTTACTTTGATACCGTTACATAATTTGGTAACGGTAGCATCGAAAATATATTGTTGTGGAGAATTTATAACAATGTATACTAACAAAATATATTTATGACGTGGTAAAAAATGAATTGAAAGACTGGAGAAATTCATTTATTTAAAACAAAATCAAACATAATACAGATATTTAAAACTGAATTATAACAATGTACAATTAACAATCTCGACGAGTTTCAGAATTTCAACTCGGTCGTGTATCGCTTTTAACAAGATTTAAAAAATTACAACGTAAACGTTGGGATAACGATTCAAAAATTAATACAGGACGTTTATAAAATATGATTTGAACTTTGTGATTTTTCAAAAGATTCGAAATTTGTAATAGGATCTGGACATATTAAATTGTAAGATACATCAAATCCGAGATTAAATCCATTGCAATAGAAATTGACTAGCTTAAAGTTCTCTCACACTATTATCATTTCGGGATTGACAGTCCCTGATCCTTTTGGTCATTAGGACTTGGAGGGTTGCGCTAGTGATCACCAGCGCCCTTATCCTGGTCATGAGTACGAATTCTTTTTTTAACACCACTACCTTTATAATGATCGCCAGCACGAACCCTTTTATGAACTACACCATCTCTATCACTGTTACTTTTATGATCTTCACTGGCCCCCTCAAGGTCTTCAGCACCGCCCACTTTATGATCTCCGCCTGTTTTATTAATATTTTTATCATTATGGCCGTCGCTTTCTCTTTTATAGCCACCAACAGCATTATTACGACCACTGGTACCCCCCATTGTATCATCTGTTCCAGATTCACCAATACTTTTAAGATCACCAGAAGCATCGACACCCGCACCACCATGAAGATTGTCCATGTCTTGTTCATCATCAGTCGAGTAATGCATATCGAAGTCAATTTCATCGCTATACTCATCATTATACGCCCCATCTTCTTCATACCAAAGACTGTCCTCCGCGCGAGAAACACTTGTGTCATAATCGACCTCATCGCCATCTTCATCATCATCTACAGAAAACATGTGATAGTCATCCAAACAATTTGAGGCCAGGTCTGCGGGAAAATCATCGTGACCGGTTATTTTCACAAGGCTTGTGATCTGAGCTTGGACCACCAACTGATCTTTGGAATTAAGATACTCAATGTCATTAGTCCATGGATATAAATAATCCTTAGCAAGCTTCCAGCGAAAATACGGATACCATGATGAAAAGCTAAATGAAGCCTTGATCTTTAAAGACAGACTTTCGTCTAAACGATTAATAACTTTTAGTATGAATGTCGTTTCATAGGTGGAGTCTTGTGCGTCAAAAAGACAAAGAGTAATGGTCGATGGAAGATTGGTTTTTGGTTGTTTGTGTTTATTTTGAAAAGAGGCTCTCAGAAACCACGACACTCCCTTCACGACATATAGTTGGCTAGCCTGTGTGATGTCCTGAGTGTTCCTGGCATCAAACGTATGCTCGAATCGATCACGACGAGTGTTCTTCGTCTTGCCGTGCGAGTTCTGGCTATATTTTCTTTCTTGATCGTCCTGGACTTTAGTCTGCGTTTCTGTCTTTGATTTTGCCCTGATTACGCTTGCCCTGTTCTTCTGAGTGTTGCTTCCCGTGGAATTACCATTCTGTAACTGACCAAGCATTCCACTCAATGACCTTTTCTGAATCTCCCCTTCTTTAAATACGAGGCACAAAGCATCTTCTGGCAGTTTTAATCTCTTAACCTCTGCCATTTTTTCTCGAACATCAGGAATCATGGTCATCATTTCTTCGAGTCGATCTTTCAACCAAACACTAGGTGTTTCTTTTGTCAGGATTTCTAGCTTCTTTATGGCTTCATCCGCATCTCTCTTCAGTTGACTCAAACTCAGTTCCCTTATTTTATAAGATGCTTCTAATTCAGATTTGATTTCCATCCCTTCATTTTCAACATGTTGATTAATTTGTTCTTTTTGTTTATCAACATTGTTAATATCAGCCTCAAGAGATGGGCGCAATTTCTTTTTTTCCTTCTTTATGTTGGACCGGAGGGTTTTCAGTTCAGCAAGTCTTTCCTTTAAATTAGCATGGACAAATTCGAGTTCTTCTCTGGTTTCTTCTTCAATATCTTCAACGTTTCGCAAAAGATGGCCTTGGTGGCTTGAAGTCAGGCATTTGGTACATATGGGTATATTACATAAGCTACAGTAAAGATCCCTTTCTTTTTTATGTTGTTGACATGAACTAAATGACGAGGTCTCTTTGTCGTCTTCAATACATAAATTGCATGGAAATTTGTCGACGCCGCCAAAGGGAATTCTTATACTTTTTCTACAGAGTGGGCAGGGAAATTCGCCAGTTGAAACATATTTCCTCACATAGTCTTCAAGGCAGGATTTACAGAAGGAGTGAAAACAGTCAATAATTTTAGGGTTGGTGAAATAATGTAAACAAATGTGGCAATCAAATTTATTTGTGAGCTCAGCCATGTTGTTTTACGCCGACTATTCTTGCTACGTATGAATAGCCTACTATTACTAATACTGTAAGAATAGTTATTGTAATTCAAGGTTTGCCTAATAACCTCAGTTCTAGTTCTACCATGTAGAGTTAACGGTGGCATTGAAAGACTCTTCACTAATCACCAGTCTAAATGAAAAAGGGGGCAATTCAATGACGTTGTCGTCACGGAAGCCTTGCAACAGTGCTCGTGTAGGCCTACTCCATTTCGTCGTGCCTTGGCCTTGGATGGGTCGTGTTTGTTATGTCGATAAGGTTATATCGTTGTTTCCACCAGATTTTTCTTTCTATGCAGACTAGAAACACCTTTCTAAATAATGTACTTGACAGTGTATGTCTGTGCCGCTTAAATTACACTTTAATAAAAGCGTAAAATCTCCCGCTTAGAAAAATTCGGAGAGTTATCTTCCCTTGGTTTGGGACTGTCTCATAAACATAAAAGTTATAATTAAAAATATAAAAAAAATTGAAACATCCCCGCTATAGGTTTTTCTACCGAGAATTCCGGACCGCTTTTCACTGTTTCAGATGTGCGCAACTGATTACCTTCAATTTTGGGAGTCAGGGGTAAGAATTTTCGAGATTTTTGAAAACGATTACGTAGCTAGGCCCAGGGGGCAAAACGCTAAAAGATAAAATCCAAGACCCGCTGGGAAATACCACAAACTAAATTTCCATCATCCTAGGTCAGTGTGTTTAACACCTTCTCTAAATTCTGAAACGCAACCCTTGTCCCTACCAGGCTGACGGAAACCTAGTTCGAGGTATTGCCTTTTATATTTAGTCAAATTCGGCCTGTAGGCCTATAATTCTTTTTTTTTTTTCTTCTTTTTTTTTTCGTATATCACCATGTCTTATGTGATCGACTGAAGTAAAAGAGCAATTCTAACACATACACACGGTAGATTTTCGCTAACTAATAATTTCTTTGAAGACAAACTGTTGTTAGTTAGACCATAGATAAATAAATATAATGTATATTATGTATTTTTATAAAACCAGGAAATACCACGATACGCGTACGGGTTCGATGTCAGGACCGCCCACCCCCACCCCGTAAAATATTTTTGGAAAATTTGACGGCCGCAAACGCGTTTTTCTGCTGAATACTGCCGCAACTTCAATGTGGCCCAGTATAGCCTACCTTAAGTGACTGACCCGAATCATAAACCAACAACCAATCGTCGAGGGTACGGGGGGCTCGCCATCCTGGAGAAAAAATTGAAAATGTAACCGTCGCAATTACGTTTTTCTGCTATTCTAGCTTGTGAGTTAAGTAACTAAAAAGTTGTCTAATGGTTTTGTAACCGAAATCACACTCAATGCCGACCTGAATTCGAACCATCCAATCAGACTGTTGCAGCTGCATTCACAAATAATAATCGATGCCCGAGTGACTCCAGACAAAAATTTAAGCCATAGTCAATTCAGTACAAATTCGTGGTATTCAATTAAAAGAAAAGTAAAGTTGGTGTTTTATTAGATCTCGGGCACTTTATTTTGCCAACTATATGAAATAATAATTTTTGTTTTCACTTTACACGTCTGCCCGAAAAGTCAGATTGCCCGAAAGTTTTGGGGGGGGGGGGCAGCTGCCCACCTGGCTCGTACACCTATGATGTCCACGAACTATATGTCCATCATCCTAGGTCAGTGCTTATGTGTGGATACTTAACTTCTGCCCCAAATTCTTAACCATTTCTACCTATGACGAAATATGCAATGGTTCTTGACTTTTAGCCCTAACCGTATCTGCTTATATATAAATGTGGATACTTAACGTCTGCCCCAAATTCTTAACCATTTCTACATCTCGTCACCTATGACGAAATCTGCAATGGTTCTTGGCTTTTAGCCCTAACCGTATCGGGGATACTTAACGTCTGCCCCAAATTCTTAACCATTTCTACATCTCGTCACCTATGACGAAATCTGCAATGGTTCTTGGCTTTTAGCCCTAACCGTATCGGGGATCACGTGGCTAAGTGGGTAAGACGCTAGCTCGCTAGCCTGGAGGTCGGGTGTTCGATCCCTGCATTGGCCGAGAAAGTTCATCCAGATTTTCCGGCGTGGTTCTCCCTTGTCAGTGATGCAGGACGGAGGGACTGACAAGGAAAGCTGTCTAGTCGTTCGGATGGGACGAAAAACCGAGGTCCCGTGTACACATTGGCGTGCACGTAAAAGATTCCTTGGCAGTTGGAATTCGATATAAGAGTAGGCCATAGTGCCGCTGTCCGGGCAAAATTTCACTCATAGCACACTGTATGGCGTATGCCCGTGTTCATTAGCCCAGGTTAGGAGCAGAACAGTAGGACGTTAAACTCCATTTCATTTCATTTCATTTCCTAACCGTATCTGGGGGAAGACTGGTATATTGGCATTAATTATGGCTTAGACCTATATAGCTTATCTGGGTGTGGACTTGTGTATCGAAAAGTCGGGTCAAACCGCTGGTAGAATTATAATATTATGCCGGTAAAAGAATGTTAATCTGTTTCTCAAGTTTCCCTGACAACGCAGCTCCAAAATCATCTTAGTGTACATGAATGCCACGTTTAGAAACTCGCTCGTTGAAATTAACCAATAGGCCAGAATTCTTCATCCATGTTAAACAATTTGGCTAAGATTTATACCACTTAAGAGATCCATCTCTTCATACCTCAGGCGGAGCTAACTGAAGACAGGCAGTCTAAAGCCCCATTTACACTTGGCCGCGATAAGCGTGCCATTCTCGACACGGTACCAGGCCGCGATAAATTTTAAAAAAATGACCCTTTACATTACTCTAAAATAACCGGCCTCGGAACTGTGCCAGACACGCCAAACGCGGAACTCTACAGAAAAGTTAATTTCAGTCCCTATGCAAATTACCCAGATGAAAACAGTTATGATGGTTGATTTAGTTTGGGCAGCCATTTTGACAGAACTGATGACATAACTGTCAAAGTTCTCGGGGAAAAGGTCAAGGTTCATTTGGCGCATGTGCAGTAATCCGTACTGAGAACCTCTCTCAGACAGGATAGCCTGGCACATCACTTCAGTGTGCCAATTTGGCACGGTACTTAGTACGGCACGCTTCTGTTTGACCCATTTACACTACAAAATCATTAACCGTGCCGTGCCTGGTACCGTGCCTGGCAGGCTTAATATTTGTAATGTAAACGGGATTTAAGTTTGAGATTAAAAAAGAAGCCTACATTAATTAAAATCAACTTACTCAAAATTAATAACGCCACTCAAATAAAAACACGGCCCACGGGCCGGACTTTTCAACATTTTAAAAGTGAAACTCTAATGAAAATAACTCGAATTCATAGACCTTCTAAAAAATGACTAAACATATTTTGACAGATTAAATAACTTAATTATAAACTATTTTATTATATTTCAGTGTGAATCCGTTATATGTTTATGAAGGGAATTATGAGACAACATCGGATGGCAATCCCGAGCCTGTAACAACATGTACATCTATAACAGGTTGTCAATCAACACCTAAACCAATCGCTGTTTAGGCATCTTTTACATTATTTTTTTTATCAAAATGTCATTCATCAGATAACAGATCGTAGCATGAAATAAGTAAACAGGAATTTAATATTCTTTATACTGGAGTGGTTTCACAAGAAATAGAAACTTTTAACACCGGTTGAAATAAATATTTTTCTTAATAATGACTGATCATAATTCTGGCCTTTTTGAAATATAATATTGTTTCTATGTCTGTTACAGTACCCAGTCTACGAGATATACCTGAAAATGTTCTCGGCTACATTGACTAACTAACTTCCATGAATAAAACACTTATGACAGGACAAAGAAAAGACAGGACAGACACCCCCCCCCCCCCCCACTGGGACGCTCGCGCGCCTTCGGCGCGTACTTGTGTGGGCCTTGGTCAATGACCTGGCACTTTATATGTTTGACACTGGTTAAGCATTATGATTACAATGATTGAAACCGCATGATATTTTGCCATTTGCGAGGGGGCGCAAAAACTCAAAACCATGATGCAAAGCTCGTCATTGCGACCCTCTCTCCTAGCCCCTGGTTCCGGTCATTGGGTAGAGACGATGATTGTTACTGATGTTGGTCTTATATAAAAAGCTTCCTGGTAGTTTATATCAATAACGTAACGTAAGTACAAAGAATATAAAACATTATCAAGGAGAAATATTTATTTACTAAATCAAACTGTTGATGTATAGATAGAATGTTAATGTAGATCGAGGGTTTGTTGAGAGTTAACTCCCATATATATATACCTATCTGTCTTTTAGTTTCAGTTGCGAGAAGACCCCCCCCCCCCCCCAGTTACGAGAAACAGTTAAAGCAGTGAGAGAGCAATTAGAAAACTTGAACAAATCCAAACGTTTTCGTCAAACGTTAAGTAAATCAGCAGCAATTACCCATGAAAACAAAGACGACTGGAGCTAAATGCAAACTCACCAATACCCATAACATCAAAAAACGGATTCAAAGAATGTAAAGAATCAGAAAGCAGGCATAATTGAAGCAAGGGTCACTCAAAAATATGCTAAATAAAAGAAACCGATTGATGTAAAGATAAGTAAACCAAAGACCGTGAAGATTCCTCAGAAACCATCTGAAAACATGAACAACAAATCAAAAGAAATCGAGGCAACAAGCAATGCTAAATCCAAGAGTGCTGCGAAGAAGACGCCAAGTACGAAAGCTCCAAATAAGTCCAGAGTTTCGCAGAACACCGGCAAACTATCTAAATCTATACTGTCGACTGGTAGCTCAAAGCAAGATAGCTTTAAACATATATCGTCACGATATTCACACCATGAAGATAAGACTTCCAGAACAGATATAGAAGATGTGACAGTCAGAACATTACCATCATCATGTAGCACCTTATACATAGATATCAGTGAAAGTTCATACTCACTGACACCTATGAGGAAGTCTTGGAATAGATGGACAGAATTTGTTTCTATTTCTATCGAAGGGGAACTATCCAATTCTTCCTGCTGCAAGCGTATGTTAC